GCTTTGATTTAATAAAAAGGTTAAGAAGACCTGATTTTTTTTTAATGAATGTGATTGAATAATGAATAGAGTGGCAATTATACTACAACTAAAATGTATCAGGAAATACAAATTATTTATTAGTAGGCAGATTTATACTTACAGAATTTTATAAAAATATTCTGGCATATTAAAAAAAATGACGTTTGTTGGTAGGTGTCTACAGATTTTAATGATTTGGATACACATGATAAATTTACTGTAACCGCCAAAAATAGCCTTGAAAAATAATTCAAGCGACATAACTTCCCGTAACCAAGAAAAATAGTTTCATGCATCGTTGTTTGATAGTATTAGAGATCACAGATTGGTGTGCGGTGGTTAGAGGAAAGATAATTTCTAGTAGCTTACAAGTATAAGTAAATTATTCTGTTAAGATCCTAAAGTCCTTTAACTTTAAAGAAATTGTTGTGTTTCATTATGAATATCAATAAGATGTAGGTTTTACTTTAATAATTAAAAATACAAAATGAAAATATTTCACTAATAGTTATTGAACATGATGCAGCATATTGTTATCTTTCAATCAAAAAATAAAATATTTTAATTACACAATTCCGCTTTATGAATGAAAATTACACGTATGTAACAAGTATGGTATGAACAAGGTTAAAATATCTTGTCTTGTTCATACGCGCATTCAATACCAAACAGCATAGCTATTCGGTAGTTATTTAAAGCATATGTGCGATAAGATAGTTTGATTTGTTTTAAAATCCAGTATAAGTGCAAGAACTAATCCTAAAAAAATAATGGTGAGTGCAATGTAATTTGGATACGTTACTATAGCCTATAGAATCATAAAATTAATAAACTTTTTTTTTTATACTACAAGCTTTTTAAAATGGTCAGATTTTAATTAATTTTATTTATTATTTTGTATTTTTTATTTCATCAAACTATATCTATTATTTAGTTAATAAGTATAAATACCATAATAAAAAAATGTAAATGTTTACTGATTTTATCAATAGTTATTTAGTTATGTATTGTATTTAAATATTGAACTTTTCTTATGAACGACAACTTTAATTTTTATGAATAGTTATTAACAAATAAAAAATTTTGCATCTATGGTCCTAAACATAATTTTACGGTTCTATAACTTCTACACATCTATTTAAGTTCACAGACTTCTAACCAATAAATTACATATTTAAACATTATTCTAAACGATTTGAACACTATTTTACGAATAAACGCAAACATATGTTTAAAATACGTCCAGTTAAGTTGTTATTGTTTTATAAGACTTTATCTTTAATTGCATCATCATTTATACTATAATTAGTTGACAATATAATTTACTATGATTATTTTATTGAATATTCACGGGCCTCTCATTTATTTAATATTTTAAGCTGCTATAGCTGCATATAGCTCACTTTGGAGTACCAGTTACAATCACTCTTTTTGATATTATACAAGATGAATAAATTCATGTCGGCTTTAACATGGTATGTATATATGCGAATCATTTATCTTAGAACATATTTTTTTAACATAAATCAAGCATAATTAGATCATTTTTATTACTTCAATTATTCTCATCTAAATTTCAGACTAATTTCTAATAAATATATTTTATTGCCGTCTCAATACTTAGAAATATTTTTAGTGTCAAAACCATGTAAATACTTAGTTTTTAAACTTTATAAATTTTTATTCAAATTCATTGATAATCAGTGGCGTAATTATAGGGGGCAAGGGGGGGGGGCAAGTGCCTTTCATAATAAATTTATAAATAATATCATAATATAATAATGTCTACTGATCCATATATTATACAGATTATTCATTCGTATAAAAGTTGTGTTGTGTTGGCAATGTAAACTAAGTTTCGATTCGACTTGTATAATTTAACAAAAAATAAAATATTTTTAAAATCTAAATTATTTTATTTTTGGTTAAGTTAAAATAACTTTTAAGTTTTCAAATTGAACTCTTTTAAAATTTAAATAGTTTAATTTGAAATTATATGAAAATATTGTTAAACTATTATTGATTATAATTAGGGCTGGGATTTTAATGCCCTAAAAAACCCCGAAAAATGTCCTAAAAAAAATGCTTTTATGACCTAAAAACTCTAAATAATGCTCTAAAAAAACCGAAAAATGCCCTTAAAAAATGCTTTTATGAACTAAAATTTTTTTTATTTTTAATAATTTTAGTATAAATTACAATAAAAAGTTTTAAAAAATGTATTATAAAAATCTATTATAAGTGTAAACTCTAAATACATAGTTTTAGTATAAATCTAAAAAAAAAGTTGTACACATAGACTTAATCTCATAGACATGGACTTCGTTCAATCTGAACAAAAAATATTTTTATAAATTATTTAATACGTTTAGATCGTATATTTATTTAACCGTACATTCTGAACTGTTACACTGAACCACGAGAGCTTGTTTCAGATTTTCAAATAAAAATGATATTCTGTTGTCTGCCAGTAAGTTCTTGTAGTTATTTATCAATTCGTCAACATTTGGAAAATGTATTCTTATTTCTTCGGCAACTCTATGCAAGGCGTGCGCCAAGCATGTAACATGTATCATTTTCGAATAATAAGTTTGAATCGATGTGGCTGCTTTTACCATGTACAGAGCAGCGTCACTTAAAAATAAAAGGACATTATCGTGTATTATTCCTTTTGGCCATAATATTGATAAAGACTTATCCAAAACTTTGGCAATTGTACTGTGATTGGTTTTTTCTAATACTTCTGAATTTAATAAAAACATTTTACCTATGTTACCTACTTCTAATGTACCTATTATAACATTGGCAACATAACGACCATTAGCGTCCGTCGTTTCATCGATAGAAATCCATAATTTTTTATTTTCTACGTATGACCTAATCATCTGTATAGTTTCATCGTAACATATACTGACGTAATTTTTTCGTAATGTGGAGCGATCAGGCGTTTGTTTATTGGTATATTTTTCCAAAAATTTAGAAAACGCAGGATTTTCGAGTTTATTTAACGGAATATTACATGACAAAAATGTACGAGTTAAATCTAAAAAATATTCCGACCTGTTTGGTACGTCTGTAATAAAACTTTGTGTATTATTTTTTTCGTTTTGTAATTTATTCCGTTCTACTCCATTGATGTGTTTATCTCTTGACAAATGTTGTACGGCAAATCGTTTTTTCAGCAGTAACTTTTACGTTGCATATTTTACAGAATAACACCAATCCGTCGGTTGAAAAAATATTATGTCTAAATTCTTGTACAAACGCACGCAGTCGACTCGTTGTCGAACATTTTACTTTTGGCATTTTTATATTAAATTACCAAAAAAAAATTAACCTGAGTAATAAAACGGTGTTAACCACGACAAAACTCGTACTGAACGTCGAACGATATCATCAGACGTCGATTTTACCGATTTAAGATTATTTAACAGGAAATGCAGGTAGAGGTTATTGTCCGATAATGGTGACAAATCGATAATATAATACGAATTACAAGTACCTACTTATAATCTGTTATATTTATTTAAAAACCATGTTGGTGCAAAAATCTTAAAATAAAATTTCAAATTCATGCACTTGGTTTCCAAAAACTCAAAAAATGCTCCAAAAATTCTAAAATGCCCTAAAAAATTAAGAAAATGACCTAAAAAGTAAATAATGCCAAAAAATGCCAAAAATGCAAAAAAAATGCAAAATAAACTTTCTTATTCTCATTCAAATGTACATAAAACAAATTTGTGACAAGACGAGCATTGCACAGTAAGCTTTGAAAAACAATGCAAAGTGCATCGAAATCCCAGCCCTAATTATAATGTAATGTCGAGTTATAAAATATATTTATATATATATATGTAAAATAACTCTCAAAAATGAGATATAATAATACTTGAGTAGTAAATAATAATATTATAATTTATTAGACTTGCAATATCACAGGATAGTTATCGGTTAATAACAAATTAGTAGCTGATAGGAAGAAATATTTAAAATTATAAAATATTAAAATTGATGAATTATTATATTCTTAAATTAGAGAAACTCTAACAATAAAATTGTTATTATTTCAAGTCTATAATAAAAAGTATAACATATAACCATATTTTTTTCAAACATGAATACATAATTGGCATATTAGTAGACACAACAAATCAAAGACAATAAGCAACTAATTAACTGTTTTGTATCGTTAAGAATCTCAGCGTTACGAAAATAGTGATTTTTTGCAATATAATCTAACGTCTCTCTCGAACTGGTCAAGGGCTACGATTCGTTATGCTTTATGTAGTTTTACCATAACATGAATGAGCCTTATTGTAGAGAGTGTCCGATTTAAAAATCAGTACGAAAATAAGGGACTTATTTCAATATTTCATAAATTTAAATTATAAATATAAAATCTTGTGCAATTATAAGAATAATAATACGAGTATTATTATTCATTTATTATAAAATAATAACGAAAAAATATTTTATGTGAAAAATATAAACATATTATATGAAGTGAAATTAATTAAGAATGGTCGTCAATTTGTCGGACCGCATTTATCATGCAACATAAATAACCCTTACCCGTCTACGGCCGTTAGTCGAACACTTGATTTCAATAGTTAAATAGATTTTAAAAATGGCAACTTTTAAACTTCCAGCGTACTAGCGTGAGTCGCCGAAAATTCTCAAATCACCCATTCGAAAACTCACAGCGACTGACACAGTGTTATCAACTCCAATGTCATCGAGTTGACAATTGGCGAGAACGCAACGCCACACCGTTTTCAAATAGTTAAATGACAAAAATAACATAATTACTACATTATTTATAAAAAAAAAACCCATTATTACGCTTACAAAATTAAATTTAATTATTATGTGTTCCGGGTTTTAAATGTGAACGAATCTAAACTTAACGATAACAATAATTGTTGTCGTTAATTATTAAGTGTAACATTTTTCTGAATATTTTATAATTTATGTTTTAGAAGTATCCAAAGTCTGTTTGGTTCATTGTACTCAATGAATTTTGCGAACGGTTCAACTATTATGGATTAAGAAGTAAGTCAACAATCTCGATAACGAATTAAAAATTATTAATACTAATTTCATCGATCTGTGGGACAATTAACTTTTAGCCGTTTTAATGCTATACTTAACGACTGTTTTGAAGTTCAACGGAGATGATTCGACGATCATATATCACAGTTTCGTATTTCTAGCATATTTCATGCCATTGCTAGGTGCGATTATTGCAGACTCATATTGGGGAAAATTCAAGTGCTTTTTAAATATTCAAATAAATCTATAAGGCTTATTATAATTATTTTGTTTTCTAATTGCACCATTTGTTTAGAACAATTGTGCGACTATCAATGGTGTATGCTGTGGGAAATGTTGTACTCACTGGTGCTTCAATGGCAGATATGTTTACTCTTGATGTTCAAAAGTTTGTTAACTATTATTATACGTACACTAAAGAGCGTATATATTTCTAAAATATTTAATTATAATTTGATACCAGTTCCGTAAATACTAAGGATTGTAAAGTAAAAATCCGGCCTAAGAGTGATTAGGATGTAATATTTCGGTTCGCTTAAAATAAAAAATAAAATAAAAAAAATAAAATGTAAATAAAATATAGATTCATCAAATGCTTTAATTGAACGCAATGGCAAAACAAGAAGTTCAACCAGTGGCGTATTTGAAATAATTGTTCAGGGGGTGAGGGCAAAAATCAAAATCTGTATATTTAATTTTGACAAATGAACATCAAAACGTTCACTATTCTAAAAACATAAAATATTTTAATCAATACGAAACTCATACTCAAACAAAATCAACATTAAACTATAAATTATAATAAAAATAAACTATTAGCAAAGAAAATGTATTATTGTTTATAACTATAGATTTATTTTTATGTTGCCTATGATTATAACAAAGTTATAAAATTATAAGAAAGTGGTATCATTATTAGAAGTAGCTTTTATTATAATTACAAAATTGGGTACCATTTTTGGTGTGAACGCATTATAGGGGAATAATCATAGTAATGTAATTTTAACTTATAACCACAGTTTCCGCAAAACAGTAAAAAAAAACCTCTGAGAGGGCAAATGCCCCTATTACCTAATCCCTTCCCTCAAATACGCCACTGACCTAAAAAAAAAAATCAGAAGTCCTGATAAGGTCTTCGGAGGCTATTGGATGAAAATAAATTTCAAGAGGACGTGATACATTAGTAATTTAAGCATAAAACTACGTTTTACGCATTACAAATATTATTCGGTGTATATTTATAGTAGAGGCTCCATTTTTTTTAATTATTTTATTTTAAAGATAACTTTATCTGTAATGCATCGTTAGTATTTTTACGCTAATAAAAATGAATATAAAGTTATTTATATGCTAACATTTGTAAATTTTTTTGTTAAGCTGTAAAAAATGATTGAAAACATTATCAACAAATTATAAACGTCGCTACATCGTATATAATGTTTACTATTTTTTAAAACAAAAAGGAACATCTAGTTTGAATTTACACTGTAGAGTTTTGTCCCACAAAATATGGTTTTTGTGCCAAAAATTGTAAATAAATGATAATTATACGTCTAAATATAATCGCACGTCTCGCATACACTTGTACGCACGCCTGTACTATAACCCATATCGTCGCCAATTTGTGGAGTGTTATACCTGGGACACACTTTTGTGTATCACGTCCTCTTATGGCTTCGAATATTGAAACAATTTGAACGTTTTAAACAAGAGAAAACATCCCGATACGCAATAATAAATGAAACGGTTTCGGTGGCGCTGGAATCTATCTTTCGAGGAAAAACGTCATACCGATATGAATGCGCACTTGATGATAAATTAACGATTTTACGATGTTATAGAATTATTGCTCTCCTCGGATTGTTTCTAATATGCGTCGGAACAGGCGGAATAAAACCATGCGTTCTCGCCTTCGGCGGTGATCAGTTTCAATTGCCCCAACAACAAACTCAATTTCAGCACTACGTTACGCATTTCATGATCGCCATTAATGTCGGCGCTTTAATATCGTCGTTCTTAACGCCCGAGCTAAGACACAGCGTACACTGTTTTGGAAGGAACTCGTGCTTTCCTTTGGCGTTCGGAGTACCAGCCGTCCTGATGTTCACCGCCATAGGTAATGCTATATTAAACGGCACCCGAAATTCAGGAATGCCTGAGAATATTTAAATTAACGAGTTGAACGATTGCGGTTATACAGCGGTATTCTTTGCCGGAAAAAATATGTACGTGAAGAAGAAGCCGGGACATAACGTTATTGTCAGAACGTTTGGTTGCTTGTTTGTAAGTGTCAACGTTTATATTATTCTCGGTGGCTTGTATTGGAAATGAAAAAAAAAAAAACAAAAAAAATTCCCCTAACACTTTTCCATCGTTCATTCAAGTACGCATTAAAAACGAAATTGAAATCGACTTCATCTTGTCACCACACCCACTGGCTCGATCATGCTAAGACCGCGTACACCGAGGACGAGATATCGGACACGAGGGCCGCTTTAAACGCGATTACCGTGTTCATAGGGTATCCGGTGTTTTGGGCGCTATACGAACAACAGGCAAGTACGAATAAAAATATTCACTTCATCGTCGTAGATAATGTTCTGAGTAGAGCTTATTCTAAACCGCAGTTGGGCTTATTTTGCGTATTTGAGTAAGATGCGCACTTGATAATAAACTTTTGCATAATTCATTTTCAATTGAATGTTGTTTAGTGTTGTTTTATACATTACAATTTATGAACAAAGTAAAATGGACATTTATTAAAAAAAAATACTTTGAACATGAATGTGCATTTTTTTATGCCTTTTAAATTACTTCACTTAAAAGCTACAAATTTCATCATTTTTTACTATAATTTGGCAGTATATTTTGAGATCATATTTCTATTTTAATAGGTTTATTTAAACAAACTGCGTATCTGATAAAAATCTTTAGAATAATCCCTGGTTCTGAGTAAGCGTTTGGACACGCGTTGACGAAATCTTCTTCGCTTAGGGTTCGCGGTGGACGTTGCAAGCCATGCTGATGAACGGCCGTTTGAACTTTCTGAACTGGACAATCAAACCCGATCAGATGCAAGCCGTAGTTCCACTTTTCGGGCTGTTATTCCTCTTCCTGTTCGACATGATGCTATACCCGTTGTTGGCGAAGATTGGCATCAGAAAACCGTTGCAAAAACTCACGCTGAGCGGTTGTTTAGCAATCGTAGCGTTCCTTTTCGCAGCTCTACTTCAAATGAATATTTTCGTAAGATCGTTGAATACATTTATTTTGCTCCTCGAAAATCGTAAAATCATATTTTTTAATTTCCTGTAAGGGTAAAAGTACTATCGTACCACACGGAGAAGGACGTATCAATATTTATAACGGATTCGACTGCGAAGTGTACGTACGTTCACCATCACTTCGCGTAGACCACATACGCCCACTTGGATTGGTCAATGTTACCTCTACTTTAATATCCGATGCAGACGTTGTCGAAATCGTATTTCATTTCGATCCAGCGTGCACATTGGTCCCCAGTGATTTTGAATTGAATACTGCTTTGACAGTCATTAATGAAAAAGTAAATGCGTTACTTTAATGTATTTTTTTTTTTAATGACAGTCACGTTTATTTATTATTATCAGAACTATAAGCTATACAGTTTACAATATATATTATCGAAATGTTATCTACCTTGCAATCTACTAACATCCCATTTATTTTATTTTTTTCTATTTAACACCTACCATATACTTCACACTTTTACCCATCCGTTTTTTTAAATTTTATTTTTATTTTTACGTTATCAGACATACATATTTAAGTTTAATTTAGGAAGTATCCTACTACTTGAGCAGCTCAAGTCCATACACGATATCATTAAATCGCATTGGCAATTATGACAATTTAATGAAAGACAAATATGGAAACCCAAGCTTGAGGTTATTGAATCAATTTACGTCACTGTGCGTGACACATTTTAGCTGAAAATAATTAATTTTTCAGAATTTTGACCGATCACTCATTTGATTATGACCGTGACAATGTTTCATTAATCAGTGTAGACGATGACACTAACTCGATTAACTCATACTCCCTTTCTTCGTTTCGAGAAATGGATTTTAATTCAGTGGTGGCTGGAAGGTATGTGTATGTTTTTATGTACTATTACAAAGAAAATTGGTTTCGTATAGACATACATTTAATATGATAGCATTGATATAATTTAAGGTATAATTTAATCAGCGACGGTAATACAATTCTCACGTCCATCAATTTAATGCCGGCTACATTATATACGTTGACTTTACAACGGAATGGTGATAAAACGGTAGTATATAACAAAATTATTATATAATATTTGATCTAGTTAATACATTTGTAAATACGTTAAAGAGTTTCTACAGGACATGAAATTGTTCACCACGGATGAAGGCAATTACATTCATATACTTTGGCAACTACCACAATATTTGTGTATGATCATCGCTGATGTAATTTTTGTGGTCACTAGTTCTGAATTTTCGTTTACGGAGGTTAATTACATATTTTACATCACTTTTGCATTGTTTTAAAAATTATGTATTCGTTTTTTACGAATATAAGATATATTATATACATATATGTATATATATTTAAATATATCTCAAATATTATATTTTAATTGTAAAAAAAATTTAATGTTATTTGATCGTTTAATTCTTAGGCTCCAGATGATATCAAATCATTTATATCCGCATTCGGCTTACTAACTACGGCGATTGGAAATTTGATAGTTGTTATAATATCAGCGTTATCTATTAAAAACCAAGTAATAATTGGTGCTATAAATTATAACACAACGTTCTATGTTAATTAATCATTATTTTATCTTTTTATTTAGACATACGAATACCTGCTATATGCTAGTATTATGGGCGTTGACACATTGTTATTAGCTTATTTTAGTGTTGTGTATCGAGGACGCAATATAACAAACGTAAATGAAACTGCGTCAAATAATGAAGACAAGAAAGTAGAAAGTACAGTTTTTTAATAAACTATATTTTTGTATATATTTAATAAAACGTAAAATCATTTGAAAAAACTTATTCCCAAGTATTATTCTTTAAAGAATTACATATTTTTTTATGAAAATTATTGTATTTTACTTAAATGTTTATATAGTAAACACTGTTGCATGCTAACTAATCAATACAATTTATAATGACATTTTATAAATTATATGGCCATTATACAAACAAAAATATGTTTTTTGACAAGATTATATCTCATTTTTCAATTGTTTTTTTTTTTTTTTTTTATGAGTTCAATAACTCACTACGAATTATATTTTTTTTTATTTATTTTTTATTTTTTAAGAACATTCAGTATATTACCATTACAATTCAACAATAACAATAACGAATTATGTTATAAGAATATTATTTTGTTCTGCTCGTTTGATTTATTTACTTAAAGTTTAAAATTGTAATTGGTTTTAATTGTTGTGTTAATATTGTTTTAATATTTTATCGTTGATTGATAAAAATATTTTATGTGTTGCACAAAGAGAATGATTGAAATCGATATAAATAAGTTAAATTAATAAATATGACTGGCACTCGAAAGAGAATAGTTGACATTGGTTATTAAATTTCATTAAAAATATGATAAACTCATATAATAAGAAAAATATCTCTGTAAGGTATTAAATGTATTAATGAATATTAATGAGTTTGCTCGTTGTTTCTATGCAACTTCTACACTTTGCAGACAATGCACTAGAGTAATGGCAAATCAACGGGTACACACATGGATAATATACCGTGAAACTTGTGTAGTTAAATATTTATCAATTTTTGAGTTAGACGAAATAAAATACAAATTGATTTGTTAAAAATAAACTCTGCGAAAATCGTTTTGTTCTTTCTTGGTTTTCCGGTTACATTTTGACATGGGGTTTTCAAGTTAAAGAAATTACTTGTCGGTAAACTCACTAGATTAAATTTACTGTAAATAAAGTTGCCATGACGTAGTACTGTCAGCAGTTTTTCGGATAAATTTTGACGTGGAGTTTTCAAGTTAAAGAGATGACTCGTCAGTATACCCACTAGATTTAATTTACTGTAAATAAAGTTATTATAGCTTGTTGATAATCAGTAATATTATTATGCCTTAATATAATTTGTTCTATACGTACACAAACACACGTGTAGTATCTGATTCTCATTACAAGTTAAAATACAATATTAATTTTATATACTAAAGCAATTCCAACAATAATTTTTCTCATATTGATATTATAATGTATATAGGTACTACAATAAAACAAATGAATGCATGGTATGAAAAAAAAATCATTGTTAGCTGAATATATACCTTACTTCGCTAGTAATTTATAAGTATTTTGTAATCTATAAATCATTTTTTTTTCGACTATCAAAAACTAAAATCTCAACTAAACTGAATATTGTTCGATATTTTTTATTTTACAATTAATTGTTATTTATTAGTTGTATCGTATAATATTTAAATGAATATATAAACTATTTTAGAACTTTTAAAATGCAAACACTACTATCCAGAGCTGTACCATCAAGAACGAATTCCACAGTATAAACTCAAAATTATAAATTAGTGTTAACCATTTTGTAAGAAAATTATGAATTTTCGATACGTTATGTAATATTAATGTAAAATATTTTTTCGGTTTCGATGTGAAAAACCAATTAAGAGTTGTTCAACAATAGGTTTACAATTCAATAATGTAGGAAGGTGTTACGGTTCGTATTGTTGTAAGTAAATATACCAAAACAATCAAATAACACTCGTTGACATTTATAAGGATACTATAGTTTAACTTATCAAGAATACGATTAATCGAAAATAACTAAAATGCATCTAAAATAATGTATTACTAACTCTATTCGATTTGTGAAAAATTCAAGTTTTTTAGGTTCAAAGAATTTTAACTCTACAGAATATAAGGCGTATATATGCGACAACGTCCAACAAGAGCAGTACCGTCTATACATTTCATAAAAGCGCAGCGACTGCAATCAAAACAATTATCAGTTAAATAGAACTATTTAGAATGTTCAGTTTCAAATTATGTGCACCAACGAACACATATTTATATAATTTGATTTTATATAAATACAATATTTAGATTTGTTAGAGACAGATAATTCTCGAGAAGCTGAATAATTTCTGACGTGTTGTTCGGTCGAAAGATTCGGGAAAAAAGTCATTTTAAACTATTTACATTTCAACATTTTTAAAAAAAAATAATTAATTATAATAAAAGTAAAAAAAAAAAAGTATTAAGTTCAGTTTTTTCGTTATCCGTATTTTTAATTTAAATTTAATAATAACGTGAAAATAGATTCAGCTGATGCTGAATATAAATTGGCAAGTATAATTAATTTTCTAAATTTAATTTAAATACATAAAATGTCCATCAACATTTACTGTAAAGAAATAATAATTTGTTAAATGTTAACGAGTTATAAAATGTTGGTTTATTTCATTATAAAATGTATTCTCGTAATATATATATTGTTACGGTTAAGATTAACATCACATTTATTATAAAACATCGTTCTCACGTATTTTAAAAACTCTACAGTCCAACGAGGATAAACTGTGCGTCGTTTTTAAAACATTTATTAAGCAGGCACGTAGCTAAGTATTAGTCCGGCCACCCTTAATATTTTACTAGCAACCTCATGGACCACACAATTTTACTGTAAAAATGCTCAAGGCTCAAATAAAATACCGTACTTAATCCGACTTTAGCTAGGTACTAGAGTAACCAATATATTTTACTCTGCAACATAAAATACAGATAAAGTCGTATGATACACCACTCCATAAACCCGCTTCCTCTGATTCTCACCAAATATTAACTGTCAATTTTGTTTTATTTATATAAACTTATAACTGAACTTTTGGTAATTTATATTATGTACCACCTCAAATTATGCTGAATTATTTATTACAATATATTAAAGTCTATAACAATGTTATTAAGATAAATACTAAGATAAATTCAAAACAATCATCGTCAACCCGAACCGTGGCTGGACTGAAAAAAGATATAAATGAATAATTACGAGTTGTATTAAGTTGTAATAATTAATATAATTTAACCATTTACATTACATCATTAGTATATATGATTTGGATATATTTTTTATGGGGGAAAGGATTGAGTCACTTATGTAAATATGATCACTTAGTATAAATAATAACCATAATTTTAGGTATCCTAATTGTCACTAGAATTTAGACGATTATTCGGCGTAGTATTTTTTTTTTACGTAATATTATGATATTGATGCTTTCGCATTCCGCAAGGAACATTTTATTGTGCACCTTTATTTTTGGATCCTTAAAATGCAAGCTGTTGTTGACGATAAAATGTGTAAGCGTAAATTTCTAAATGTACCTAACATGGTTCAAAGTTTTATACGCCTAATTAGATCGTGATATTAGTCATTAATTCATTATAAATATATGTTCATTTAATAATTTAAAAAGGGAACAGTTACAATTCAACGCTTCGAAAAAAAAAACCAGACGATGATATTATAGATAAATTGTAAACGGCCCATATGTTAGCAAAATGTTAACATTTGAGTATAGTACATACTCAAACTATGATGAAATGCTGTGTTACAACATGCAAATTGTTATTTTTTGCAAATTTTTATATTTTTATACTAAACATAGATAAGTATATTCCATCATTTTTACTCAAACTATTTATGGCCAACATATTCATAAGAAAATAATCACATTAATAACCGCATATTGCACTTATTAAGATAAAAATATATTAAATTGTATTGTTGAAATTATTATTTCTTGTTTCAGAAATATCCAAAGTCTACGTAGTGGATCGCTTTCAATGAGTTATTTGAAAGATTTAGCTATTGCGGTTTTAGAAGTAAGAATTATGTGAATAATTCGTTTTTAAATAATTATTAATTTTAACCCAGCTAATATTTAAAATAATATGTTTTCAGCCGTCCTAGTATTATACCTAACAACAATAATGAAGTTCAATAATGACATTCGACAATAATATACCATAGTTTCATATTCCTAATGTTTTGCATGCCGTTGATTGGAGCCATCTTGGCCGACTCATTTTGGGGGAAATACAAGTACATAATAATGTAGTAGTTGTACCGTAATAAATTTAATAGTGATTTCTATGCCGCATAACGATACGACGATTATGCTACCATAATCATTAATTAAATATTTTTTTTTTAGAACAATTATTAGATTATCAATAATATACATCCTTGGAATCGTTGTACTCGCAGGCTCGTTAATGGCAGACATGTATAGTCTAGACGTTCAAAAGTTACTACAGGTTATACACACTAATCTTGTGGATCAATACTAATTACACTTATTTTCGTTGATTTCACTCTGAATACCGCGTGATCACGACTTCAGGTACCACTAAATATCTCAGGTTATCTTGTATTGAAATTAATATTTCAGAGGCCTAAGGAAGTACTGAAATAAACATTTTCAAGTATTGTCGAATTTTTAACACTTACGGTACACGCATGCGCAATACAACTAACTTTTTTTTTTAATGGCAATCCCAATTTTTTTCAAACAATTTTTGTATAAAAATTTTTTTTCTATTTTTAAAATTAACCAAATAGGAGCAAATTTCAAAAATTTGAAATTAAGTATTATTGGTTTTTACGACATTTTTACCTAAAGTATAAAATTATTAAAAATAATGTCAAATATTTTACGAGTACCTTTATTTTTAATACGTGATATTTTTGTGATTAAAATAATTACAAACTAATTATTTATCACAAATTAATGGGATATATGCTCGCAAAGTTAAGGTTTTATTTAGTTCTCTCCAAAAAAATCTAAAAAAAAAAAAAAACAAAATGTACATTAAATATTTAAAATATATTTTATATTCTACATTTTAGAATCTCATCAACCATCAACTCGATCTTAGCACGTTGCACTGCGGCTTGTATTTTTTTCATTTGGGACCTCAACAAGAACTTCACTCAATTATTTTCTATTGCTTACAATGTTGGTTGGTAGGTCCTCGTTAATTACTACCTCTACGGCTGGTGCAGTTATCAGTTCCCAACGACTTAAAAATTGATTGTCGGTGGTAGATGGTGTTGTCGATGTTGTCAGTCGTAAGGCCTTTCTCGACACGTTCGACCACGGTCTTAATACGTAAGTTCTTGTGAAGGATTGTACTTGTACTTCTGATTACACTTGTAACAAAATTGAATGTCTCCTCGAAGCGTATTTCTATGACAAGTAAATCTTCGGCACACAACTTTATATCTTGTTTCTCCACATTAGATATTTCCACAAACGGTACCATTATCGGTTCGAGATGAGAACACAAGCGGTTATCGGCAGCGGTGGTGTCAATCATTGATACGATTTGTTCGTGTTCTTTCGATTCCACATCGAAGGAATTTTAAGGTGCAGATTTATCTCCGTTTCGAGTTACTATTGATTATTTTTCTCTGATAGTTTACAGGACCGAGCACGACCGAAGTCTTTTGAGGTTTATCACACTCTGTTTGACTATTTGTCTTTCCGATTTCCATTTGTGTGTACTGCTCCTCCAGTGGAATCTCATTCATATTAAACTCGATTTCGGTCACTTCAGTTGTTTCTACGATTGATTTCGCTATCGATTTCGTTATTGGTTCTCAAAAAAAAAAAACAACAGATAATTTATGGTGTCGATGGTGGTATAGACGGTATCAGTTATAAAGCCCTTCTCCAAATTGTTTGATTCCACGTCACAGAATTTTTTTATTGTAGACTCATCAATTATCATCGGATATCGGGTGATCACAAATGGCTGCTTCACATCGACTGCCGTCAAAGTTTTTCGAGAATTATCACTCTTTCTTCAACTTTTTAGCTCTGCAGATTCGATAGCCCATTGACATATATTTGCGCTAAGAAATAAATAAAAATATGAGATCAGTAAATGTAATTTATATATGTATATATATCGCGAAACGTTGGTACGATAGATTTTCTTTAATTTAATATGCCCGAAACCATTACCTTTTTTATAGGTCTTAGCGATGACTCAATTTATATGCATTTAAAATCTGCACGAAAAAAAATTGTATGAGCATTTTTTTAAATAATAAGAATTATCCAATGATATTTTTAAAAGTTATATTTTATTTCTTCGATTACATTTTATTAAAATTATAATTAATGAACACAAGTTAGATTGAAAATAAATTGCTTGATTGCAATGCAAACATCGATAGGAGGAGGTTAGTAGTGATACGCAATAACATTATTTCCATGGTACTGTTTTCAACTTATAAAACCCTGTCATACAAAAATAAAAATACTTGTAATGAGCCGGACTCAAAAGACTGACTCAGCACGATTTAACGTCGAAATCCACCTTTGTTGCAACATGGATTGCTACGCACTGATAAAAAACTAAGATTTTGTATGCAAAGTAAATACGAATGAGTCCTAGCGTTTATTGATCCATTTTTGTTTTTTTAACTTTTACGAAAAACGATTTTGCTGAATTTACATCACGCAAAATATACCAATACACACAAAACATGCAAAAACATACTCTATTTACTTATCTATTCTACATTTTTATTATCATTGCTATTAAATCGATTCGTTTATCACTTAGCATGTATTCCGATATAGTAAAAAAATCATGCAAACGCATAAGCTTACGAGCCCTGATTTCAACTATTTAACTTATTAATGTTTACTTGCATAATATTTTCAATTTGAGTTAAATCTCTTTTTATCAATTGTTTAAATAGATGAATTTATGAATACGTAAATAAATTATAATACTAAAACATGTTTTTCTGGTTATGCGGCGGAGGGAAATAAGCGGCAACACTTGTTTTCTCCGTAGGTCCTTAATCTGGTTCTGGTGGGATTCCGTGTTACACGTGATATGAATGATATTGCCGATTATTACTCACAATGAAGTGCGCTGCGTTCAGATAAAAATAATCGGCAATAATCCGGCAAACGTAATGTTGTTAAAATATTAAGAATTCTACGCATTATGTTCACCGCGCACACCTAAAAATAACGTCAGTCGATGCCGCGGCCGGACACGTGGCACAGCTGTGGGCGGCTAGGAATACTTGTTGCGGTGCAACCGTGGTAGTGGAACTGATAAATAAGACCACTCGCGTTCCCGAAATGATTTCGATGGATTTGAATAGTGTTCCACAAATACCGTTACCGAAATATTACGAAATTATATTACGTATTCTTACTTTTCGCGGTGCTCGAGCAACGAATCGAATTCTTTTAAATCGATCACAAAACTGCGCTATTACTACACGGAGAATACCTCGTATACAGAGACAGCCGATTAAATTAAATGGTTTTCAACCCGCAAAGACCGATGAATATTATTATGTAACGCAAATCGGTCAATATTTCAATAGTTCTCAAATGATTCGGATTTGCAAAACTTGTCTCTAATGTCTTTTACCCAGTCGAACGTCGAAATGGAACTGATCGAAAATAAATTGGCAAGTATCAATGTAGTGTTTTTTCTCCGCTCTTACATTCGGTACATTTTAACTGTCTTGAATCTATAATCTAAGTCTCCGGATGCGTTTTATTTTTTTGCTCACCGTTAATCAATGTACCCATGTAATAATTGTACTGTAATCAGTGTTTATTTTGTATTTTTCTACTATCACAACCAAATTTTTTTTAGTATAATTTTTAATCGTTAAAAATTTAAATACTCGGAGGTGAAATATTTACAAAATTTTTTTATCATTAAATCACTTGGAGCATATACATTATATAGATAATAAAAATGTGCCAACTAGCCTTTTCAGTGCTACTGTCGCGTATACGCGACAACAGTCTATTTCTCGGGCCTGCTACTGTCCCGTATACGCTTTGCTCTATTATAAAATGAGGTGCAATTACTACATCAACAAAATACGCAGTGCTATCTAGGGAAGAAAGTAACAAATCAATTGAAAAAAAAAAATTGTTTCCGTTCAATTCCAAAGATGTTATGAATGAATTTATATTTTGTCATTTCCAGTGACTACCAGAAAATAAATATGATACTGCATCCTTGGCAATGATAATAGTTTTTGTTGTTTTTCATGGTTATCTATAAATAAAATTGTTTTTTTTTTTTTTTTAATCGTGACACATTTTATATTTTGGTTATGTGAAATCAAGTGACTTTGTTATGAAAATTTACGCTTGTCTTTTTTATTCACTGTGGTTTTATTGTTTCGATGAAATTTGAAATACGTAAAATTTGAGAACCACTGGCTTAGGAAAGTAAAAAATTGAATGACACGGTCAAATATTAATTTTTTTTTTTACATTTTTTTTCTTCGGAATGTATGTTAATTAAACTTTTTGTAAGGAGAAATTTGAAATTCTTGAAAAATTTAAAATTTATTAAGCACAGCACATATTTTAAAGATAAATTTATTTCAGCATTGAAAGGGCTAGAAACAAAGATAACGTGATTATGACAAAAATGCAGGTTTAGCGTTTCCATAAGAGTGTTGCTTACGTTAGAAAATCACTACGTTTATCTCATAGTTATAGATAATGAATACATTGGAAAATATTCAATATTTTTAAATATTTACGGGTATATATAATAATACAAATAACACAAATATCCTATGGAGTCGAAATTGTAATTTTCATAATATCAACAAGCAGAAAATTATCACCTATTTTATACAGGTATTCGAGAAATTTATTGAAATTTGGTGAAACATTATATTGGTTATAAAACGTGGAAATTAATATGTAAATAATAACTTATATCCTATAGTTGATAAAAAAAATTAAAACAAGAAATCATATAGTACGGTGAAATAAATATTGCATGATAAACATAACTATCTAACTTTATTTTCTTATATTAAGTTATAAAAGTCTTTTTTTTTTTTATTTATTTATTTTCTTTTTTTTTTTCAGAACTTTCAGTTAAAACTATTATAGTTCAAAAATTAAAATATTAATAAACACAGTAATGCAATAATATAAGTACATTAAGTAATAATTAAAGTTATTAAGTACAATGATATAATAATAAATATGATTAATAATATCAGATAAGAAAAAGAGATGCAACATTAGTGTATATAACAGGAGAAATAATTGGGAGTAAGCCATAATTATTTGTTTATTAAAATAGCAGAAAGAAAAGAGTTTATAATGGAGGTTAAATCAGATTAGAATTTTGAAAAGGCTAAATTTAAATTTGAATTTTGCGGATTGGTAGCTGCAGCATATAACAGGATGAATTGAGAAAGGTTAATGAGGAATGACTCGGAGGTTAAATTGTTTATAAATGTATTATTTTTTGGGGAGTTAAAAGACTTAATTTTGCAGCGATTTAGAATAGTTTGGTAGAACCGGCATCCCAATGATAAAAATCATTTAACATAATACTTTGTACTCTAATTTTGACCTATTAATTATTATAATGGAAGAATTAGAGATATTTAATATTTTTCTTTACACATGAGAACAATTTGATTTTTCTAAAAATGTGTTTTTTATAGTGAATTCAAATTTACCTTCTCATTTTCTTATCCATATTATCGTTACTCATAAAGTCATAAAGGATAAACAAATATTCTAATAGATCTCTGTACTCTATAATCTCAAGCGCGTAGATAAATCCATTTACTATTTTAACATGTTTGTATGAATTCTTTTTATATCCTACTTTGAATTCGAAACACTTTTTTCGTAGTACAAAAATAATAAGCTAAAATATTTTTATTTTTTATTTTATATACATTTACAGATAAACGAATGAATACTAAATTAATTTTAATATAAGAAATCATAAAAAAAAAAAAAAAAATAGTAAATATTTTAGTACACACTTTAAAATTGAATTGTGTAAACTTCATTTTGAACTACATTAAGTGGGCCGTTATACGCACAATATTATGTGCTATACAAGTGTAGACATGAACGTAGAAATTAAATATAATGCGATTATGTAGTAAATTCACTAATACAGTATTAAAGTTATACAATTATTATTGCCGACTTTAATATTGATTATGTATATTATTAAAATATTTAATACAATTGTTATGTTTATGTTATAGAAATCTCCAAAATCGGTATGGTTTATTGTAGGCGATGAACTGTGTGAAAGGTTCAACTATTATGGACTCAGAAGTAAGATATATTAATTTTATAGTACAGTGCTAAATTAAATGTACTAAATATATAAAATGTTTAATTAATTAGTTGGTATAAAATCGGAAATGTTTGGATGTACTATTATTTTTACCTATACGTATCTTCAAAAATAATTTCTTCAGAAATGTAAATGGCGTATATAATTTATATTTATTATACTAAAATATTTTGTCAAATACTTATCCCTTTTTGTATTTATACAACGATAAAAATACTAATACATTAGTTTAGTCGATAAAAATTTGCGTGCAAAAGAGATGTCTGTTTAAAAAAATATCCAAGTATCAAAATTGCCAGAGAGTAATACAATTTTAATTTGCATATTTTTAAAATGTGTTATGGCTGAAGTAATATTGTGAAATAAAAATAAAAATAGACTGTGTATTGTTGTCACACTTACACAATTTATCATGAATTAAAACAAAAAATTCGTTGAAATTGTACAAAACATGATTCATTTAATTTCAAAGCTATTTTAAAAACTAACATGAAATGTACATACCTACTCAGTATTAACGAAAAACCATAAATAAAATAAAATATTACATTTATATACAAAAAAAAAGTAGGTACATTATATTCGGATTTTACAAATTAAAATATATCGATTGAGAACTTTTTAAAAGCAATTACTCAAACAATAATAAAATATTATCAAAATTAATATTAATTACATTTTTATTAATTATTTATAATAATCCTTTCTGTTGATCTTGCTCTAATAATAATTAAAATTGTATTCCTTAAATAGCTTTATTATTTTTACTACTGTTTGAAAATTAGCTTGTATAAGGATATTTTTATAAATGAACATTTTCATACATAAATATTTTGTGTATGGACAATTTTACTTGGACTTTTTTTACGTATACATTTTTACCTTAACTACACCTCATATACCTGAATCTAAAAAAATATGAAATTAATATTTCGCTTACTACTTTTATAAAAATATAAATATCCATGCAAGTAACATTTATAAACATATAAGCACCCATAATTATGATTATTATTATTATTAGGTAGGTACTATTAGTTATTAATAATATTATTTGTTACATTAACATTATCTGATTTAAATTCATTGACCCGTATTAAGTATCATAAACATTTCAGCTATTTTAGTGTTGTACCTTAAAACCGTATTAAATTATTCGGACGATTATTCAACTATGATCTATCATGGCTTTATATTTTTATCGTACTTCATGCCGATATTTGGTGCTGTATTAGCTGATTCCTACTGGGGAAAATACAAGTAAAGATACGAAACTATATCATTATAAATATGTTCTATTATCAGTGCTTACTCATAAGTATTGTCGAACTTACATGTTCAATGTTTATTATTTTTGCAGGACTATTATGCGACTGTCAATAGTTTATGTAATTGGTAATTTTATACTTACCGCAGCTTCGATGGCCTACAATTTTACCCTCGATAGTCAGAGGTAATACATTATTTTTACGTATAATAATAACTTCATGATGTGACTAAAATTTTCATTTTCAATTTTTTATTTTATATTTATATGAATAGTATTTCAAAATATTTTTTTTCAAATTTTGGCAATTTTAATTCACTATTGTAATATTATTTTCTTTTTCTTACCCTAATTATTTTTACCATCTCCGATAAGCTTGTTAACTAAAATATACGATACAATTGAATTTTATGGAATATTATCTTTAAGATGGAATCAAGAAAATAGTATGGTGAATCAAAACGCAATCGCGATTCAGTGTTCATTTTTAAGAACGTTTTTTTCACATAGGTGTGGGTACTTATAAACATACTTTCGGTGAAAAAATTACCATACCAAGTGAAATTTCTTTTTCCTAAAAACCCTTGTAATTTACTTGTATTATATAATAAATATTTAACAAATAATAATATAATAATAATAATAATTATTTTTTTATTTCTAATGTAGACTTATTGCTATTGTCGGTTTGGTGTTGATTGCAATAGGAACAGGCGGTATAAAACCTTGCGTCTGTTCGTTCGGTGGAGATCAATTTCAATTGCCCGAGCAACAAACTGAACTTACTAAATTCTTCAACAGATTCGTGACGTCCGTGTACATTGGCTCGTTAATTTCGACATTCATCTCTCCCGAGCTAAGGAACAGCACTCAGTGTTTCGGCAGAGATACGTGCTTTCCATTAGCATTTGGCGTTCTATCTTTACTGATGACCATAGCAATAGGTAATCTCCTCTCGACGTCTAATTATTTTACAAAGCTTTTCATGTTATTATTATTTTTTTTTTCTATTCCATTACAAAACGTCATATACCTACATCAAATATGGTACTTACATTTTACAACAATAGTTCAATGGTAAAAGAAGTACGAATTATTTGAATATTTATTTGCAAACTAAACAATAACCTCTTTGGATAAAATAATATAAGGCACTTTCAAATACCCAAATAGCCCATATTCCTGTTTGATTTGTATATTTGTTTAGTTTATTTTTTATAGCTGTGTTTTTTTTTGGAAAACATTTATACGTGAAAAGAAAACCAGAGAATCATGTAATCTTCAAAACTATCGGGTGCGTGTTTGTAAGTATCCACAAATACATTGGTAAATTTCAAGACGAAAAGTCATTCAATTTCTTACCTCAAGTATGTGAATTAACAACCCAAATACTTTAATAATATTTGTAGGAGGAGGGTATTATAACGATACTATAAATTCAATAATCAGTAAAATATTATGGTAAAATTTAAATTGGAATTGAGGGCAAACAACAATAAAATCCGAAAACCACTTTTGTAACACATACGTAATTTAATTTAGTAATGCAATACATCAGTGACTTTTTGTTTTTAAGTATTCTCTTCGAAAAAAATGTACTCGTTCGTCTACCGATAAAGCTCATTGGCTAGACCACTCCAGTAATAAATATTCTGAGATCGAAGTTACTGACACTAAAGCAGCAATGGAAGTTCTGTACACGTACATTGCTTATCCAGTATTTTGGGCACTGTATGAGCAACAAGTAAAAAAATATATTCTATTATTTATCAAAAAAACGTTTACGAAAACCCTAATCGTTTATTTAATATTTTATTTGTGTTTGCAGGGTTCGCGGTGGACGCTACAAGCGATGTTAATGGACGGTAAAATAGATAGTATCGATTGGGAGATCAAACCTGATCAAATGCAGACCATTCACCCGCTTTGCGCTCTTTTATTGATATTTTCTTTTAATTCAATTTTATTCCCATTTTTGGCAAAATTTGGTATACGAAGACCACTGCAAAAGCTCATATTTAGTTATTCAATGGCGGTCGTGGCCTTTCTGCTCGCTGCTATTGTTCAATATAAGATTTTCGTGAGTCTTATTTTATTATTTTTTATAATACTAATATCTATATACTAATATATATCTATTGGGTGGTCTGCGGTAATTAGCCGGTTTTCAATACATCCAACATAAGAAAAACGGGAAAACATGGTGAACCACCTATATCGTTATTTTATTATCTCATTCACCCCATAATAACCAAGAATTCAATCCTATTGTTATAAGGGCGAAAGCACTGTCATACCGTCTGATGAAAGTCAACTGAATATATATAATGGTTTCGATTGTGACGTTCATGTAAAATCATCACTGCCGGACAACCGAACTATTGGGCCATTGGACTTTGTCAATTTCAAGTACATGCCAGTTTGGGAAGAAAACATCATGAATATTACACTGAAATTCGATAATTCTTGTAGATCATATACCAATTATGACAAACTGGAAGCTTCAGTGATTGTCTCCAAAGGAAGGGTAAATTAATGAAATTGGTGAACTATGCTTTACTTATATTTTATTTTTAATTATTGAGCATCTTGCGTTTATCGATTAGTTGCATACGTAGCTTATAAATATTTATGGGTATTTACCAATTATAAATATGTAATCGTCTGCAAGTTTTAGATTGAAAAAAAAAAAATCTATCTTTCAAGTTCAAAATTTCTGATTTACTGAGTGCTCGTGATTACTTATTATTAATAACCATAGACATAGGCGTGCGCAAGGATGTGGCTTATAGGGCTATAGCCACACCTGGAACCTTTTTTTTAGGTAGGTACTAAGGGCTAATAACTATTTTTTTGGAAAAACGAAAGTTTTTTTATCAATTTTATCAAATTACAAAAGGAAAAAAATTGCCAGGACTGGCGTTCATTGATAATCAGATTGTACATAAGTTTTTCTAATCAATTTTATTTCTACTTATGTTTTGAATATCTATTTTTTTTTTTTTTAAGACGGAGTTATACATGGGGGTGGGTGATCAAAAAAAAAATAAAAGCACTCCGGAAACAGGAATCTGCGCACGCCTATGACCATAAACATAGGGCTGCTTACGAACTGAGTCCCAGTATAACCTTTTATGACGAATTGAGTCCCGGGTTGTTTTAGGGTATAAACCAATTGAGTCCAGTGACATTATAGGTATAATACTAATTGAGTCCATGTTTTAATACTAACTGAGTCCCGTAAAATTAAAAAAAAACATTTTCCTTCCCATTTTTACAGACTTAGGACTGTCTGTAACAAAAAATTCTACAGGTATGGTTAAAAATGTTTTTTTTTTTAATATTTTATAAAATAAATATATAATTTTTATTATTATTCATAATTTTCGCTGTGCCTGGACTCTGGATGGTTATTTCATATTTTACTCAAAATAATCCTCGGACTCAATTCGTATACAATTAGTTTCCTAACCACGGACTCAATTAGTATATGTCTCGTTTGTACCCGGGACTCAATTAGTATATTATTTTTTCCCCGTTCAGGTATAGGGACTCAATTAGTATACAGTGAAACATAGTAACTATCAATTTAAACTTAGATCACGTTTTTGGTTTCATTAATAATTCACAAAACAATTAACCATGATGCACTTTTGTATACATTTTTTTTTTTTTATGTGCTATTTAGTCCATCTCATACTTCTTAACACCTACTGTAAACAAAGAAGCCATATTACACCGTGTCGATCGTTACGATTATTTATCAAAGCCTAAAAACGGACACCCCAGCCTTAGGTATATATTCAATAATTTTTAATTAATTAATTAGTTTCATATCGATTTTTCTATATTTATTTTTAAGAGTTATAATTAGTGATGATGTAAAGATAAATGAATCTCTTTCTCTTGAAATCACTGGAAAAAAATCTGAAATACCCTATAATATCTCTTCATTTACAAATGGAAATATTAAACACATAGCTATTGGGAGGTAAGAATTCAATATTTACGATATATTTTGAGGTATACATTTTTTTATTCTTAAATTTTTTATGATTTTCTAAGAGAAATCTAACAACAAACTTCAATTTGTTAATTTTAGTTATAATTTAACTCGTGGCAAAGAAGTGATATCCTCGAACATAGTGCTTATGCCTGCAACAATATATACACTTGTTATACGTAACAATAGTAATAACTTGGTAAATTTGTGAAAAACCATAGTCCATGTTATCAAGGACGTAGACAATGGCAGATTTGGTTAATAAATCAAAATATTTTATAGGAGTCGAAATTATATGCCACTGACAAAGGAAATTATTTGCATATGTTATGGCAGATACCTCAATACATGTGTATGATTCTTGCGGATGTAATTTTTATAGCTACGACGATTGAATTTACATTTACTGAAGTAAGTTATTTATTATATTTTATCATGATATTAAATAAGTAAAAATATTTGATTTTAATATTTTATTTATTTACTTTAATTGATGCATTTTTAATATATGTATTATACTGTCAGTAGTAGCATTACTATATTTATTCATGACTGGTAATATTTTAGAATTTTGTGGATTATACATATCGCATTTCATGTACGTACATCCTACATATTAGAAAATAATATAATATTATAATGTTAAATAAAATCAAGAAAATATATAACAAAGGACAGCAGTAAAAAATATAAAAAATTAAAATTATTGTCCGATGCGGTATAGATTTCGGTAAGCTAGAGAAGTGGAGTTAAAATTTTTCCATTGTTGGTTGAATTCTCGTAAAGAACACTAGTGTCAAGTATTAACTATGAACAAGGCGTAATACATTTGACTTTATGTGTAAGTGACTATAATGGATGTATTATAGTCTTTTTATTTGAATAAGTTTGGAATAAATTATGAATGATCACATGAAAAAATATATACGTTATAACGTTGAACACTAATTTTCTCAATAAATTTACAAAATTCATTTTTAGTATCACTTAATTTTTACAGATATATATTGTATCATATAAATTTATCATTTTTATTTTTTTTTTTTTTTTTAATGTATTTCACTAATTTAATAACATCCATTATACAGTTAATTATACAACTGCCTCCTTGATAGCTGAACCCATTAATCAAATTAATGAAAATAATAGGTTCAAAAGATCGAAAGTGAATATTAACCCCCGTACCTCCTCTGTGATTACGATACGGAGTTCAATGTTCATGACACATTCTATATATATCATACATATATAAATTAGTGTATTGGTGTATAGATTATACATAAATGTATAATATACACATTGATCTGTGTATGTTATATTCCAACGACCATATTAAGCATAATTGATAATCGATGTTTATATTCCTATAGGCTCCACCAAGAATAAAATCATTTATATCAGCCTGTTACTTGTTTACTCAATCGATTGGAAATCTATTAGTTGTTGTTATTTCAGCTTTGTCCTTTCATAGACAAGTGAGACTTTTCCATTTGATTTTGTTGACAACCGTTGTGATAATCTTATTAATTATATTTTATAGGTAGACGAGTATTTATTTTTCTCTGGTCTCATGCTTGCAGATACGTTATTATTGGTTTACTTGAGTAGTAACTACAACTACAAAGACTTTAAGCAACAAGTTATCAACGATAATGAAAATAAAACTAAGACAAATGAAATCCAACTAAATTAAAATTAATCACTTACAAAATTATTTGATTGTTAAAAGGCATAAAGCATACAGCAAAAATAAAATGAGTATGCACTCATTTTTACGCGTGGCTGTATGATTTTACAATGTTTTAAACGATGCGTACAATAATTGTACAGCTTAATTATTAAGCTATTCAATATATTTTAATGGTTATATTTTTCAAAAAAAATATGTTATTTTTAAATAATATTTTACTCAGTTATACATTGCCCACACTATTGATTATAGAATCAATGTCCACACTGTACCAAACGCAACACGACTTTTATTTATTAATATTATTAACTTAAATTAGAGATTATTTCAATTTTTTCCGCAATAAAAATTATTATTTTTAAGGCGTCGCTAATTGAATATTTAATTTATTATTTAGTCATCGACAAGTTTATAATTAAATATATAGTAAAATTAAATACAGCATAGGTAATTGAATTGCATTTGTATTTTTTCTCGACAATATTAAAACAATTAGAATCCAATTACCGATTTTAACACAATTGCGTGGTAACGTAACTATTTAATTTTGAAAAATATTCATACAGCATTATAGAGAAATCATATCAATACTCAACAAACTCAATTAATACAGTTGTAAATGGTACGTGGTTATTACATTTCCAAGAATAATGTAGGTAAACGTTCTGTACACTTCAAAATTAAACGACTGTTTATAACATAATAAACAATAATAATATTAAGAATTCTAATATTTTACTTTGTGTACAGTCTACTAATAGCCTAGGTTAAAAAACATTATACAATTATAATGCGCTAATCCAGTCAGATATCTTCATTGTATTAAAGCCCTTGCAAACCAAATCCATTTTTCATCAAAACTATCATGTGATGTCTAACAAAAATATTAGTAGTAATATTATTATTATATTATATTTATATTATATTGGTACTTTAATGATCAGATAAAAAAAAAATTTGAAAATAGTATTGAAATATTTAACATTTCTACTTTACACTGATCGAACCATTTTTCCATAAGAGCAATTTTTTATGAGACTATTAAGTATGAAAACTGAAAATTTTTCAAATTTTTTAACAGTAAATAATATAATAAAACTTTGATGAAAAAAACAAATAACATTTTTCTTTAATTTTGACTTAACAAAATGCCACTGTATGTTAAAATTTACTATATGACAAATATGATCTGATTGTATAACTATGTACAGTTTATATATGTACTTAGAGTGTGATGTCATATGGTAGTGAGACATAGACAAATAACAAGAAATCATTAAAGTTATGGATACGGAGGAAAATTATAAAGATAAGATGAATAAATAAAAAAAATAAATGAGCATGTTCTAGAATAAATTGGAAAAAAAAAGATAGCTGATAAGATGATTTAATCAAAGAAAATAAAGTTAATCGGATATATCATCCAACACAATAATTTTATAACCGACATATTTTAATGAATAGTAACTGGAAATTAAAGAGGACGCCCAAGGAAACACCATTTTGAATACATTGGAATAGGTTTGGACTGCATACCTGCAACTGATTATTTACTATTCACCCAAAGTCAACGCATAGCCGAGTGCATGGATACATTACTTAAATACATATAGCCTTCCAATAATGATGTGTTTGTAGGGTGTACTAGAATAATAATGACATATAATGTAAATAAGCGAAATCATTTTTACCTGAAATTAGTCATCCATGATAGAATTTAAAAATAAAAATTTGAAGAATATTCAATTATATTAATACATTTTAAATTATTTATTTATATTATATTATATATATATATATTAAAAAAAATACAAGTTATAGCAATACAGAAATCATGGTTTTAATATTATAATTGATACAATAAAGCTATTATAGCATTTATAATTAGATAATGGACAAATATATAATTTTAAATTAAATTTCATATATCAATACATTACATACTATGTACTCTTATATTATATTCCTAATTATACACTTATACATAATGTACTAATTATAATACTCATTTCATAAAACATTACATTTTCAGAGATTAAATTTAAAATATTGAAAAATATACCCATATCATAACTGTAAGAACAGTATTTTTAATTTAAAAAATTAAAAAAAAATCGATATTTTCATTTATCTTAATAGTCAATATTAGCTAGAATTACTCAAAATCAATGTTGTACGACCCATTTGTCCTAGTTCCCTTGTAAATCAAAAAAAGATTTGTTTTTCTGTCTCGACTATTAAATTCATTAATATATGAATCATTCAATTTTATAGATTTGGGTAAATATGTTTTCAATACCATATTATCTCCTTCCAATGAAACCAATAAACGTAGACCGAACTTTGACTGAACTTTGGATAAGTCGAGTATTCTATACCTTCTTCCCACATTTAACGCCGATATGCTGACAAAAGATGTATTTTGATTGTGTATTCTTGCTTGACGTTTTAAAGCCTTCTTTAATTCATCCATAGCGCTTTTAAAACAATTTAAAAAAAATAGTAGTAGTTTTCAAATTATGCAACAAACAAAAAAGTATTAAATGTTAATAGTTACATTAAAAAAAAAAAAATTGTGTGAAAAAAGATTTCAAATTAAAATAGACAACCTTAAGAACCTAAAGTAACCTTAAGAAATTACTTTATAAAAATTAAAATAATGGTTTATTTTTCATAATTGTATCAAATTTAATTTTTACATAAAAATATGTACGAGTATAGTATCCAAAAAATTAATACTAAAATATGATTTTTCTTCAAAAAATATTCAGATTGTTTTTTTCATTTATTTTGTATTAAATTACTGTATAATAAAATATAAACTAAAGTGTTGTGGTTTAAATTTATAATAAATATAAAAAATTGACTCAAGCTTTTGTACAAAGATAAATTTAGGGGGAGTCAGATCAGCTGACCCACAGTTAATATTATTGACAAAATTAGCCTCTTAAAGACTTCTTAAATTATTTAATTGTGCCGATTATAGGTTGAAGTTAATACTAAACTAGGAAAAATGCCCCAGTTTCGTGCCCCCCCCCTTTAACGACGCCATTAGTTTAATTGTATAGTAGCACGATAATATACTAAAACATCTTTATGTCGGATTAAGATTCCATATAATAAAATAAATGTTATCGTTTTCAACAATATTTAGGATTAAACTTAAAAACGCATTCAGTATGGTCAGATTGTTTTTTTTTTTATCACAAGGTATCAATACATATATAGTCCAGTTTCAGACCTAATAAGTATACTCTTGAATAGCCTGATCCACAGTTCTCAAATTATGGATCCACCTCTGCTTCTGCAGTTGTATAAACTGTTATAAATATTAAAATCTATATTTTATAACGAATGAGGAAAATCGGGGAAATTCAACAATGAAAGACACAAGGTTAAACAATGGAGATTATTTATTGATATTATCACTTATTCTAAATCTAATTACCTAAATTATGTGTATCATTATTACATTTGCTGACATTTATAAAACGCGGCATAAATAGAAAATGTATTTATTCCATAAACTAATTTGTAACTGATTATTTATTTATTTATAATTCAACGGAACTAGTCCTTTTACAATATTGTATGTGGTATGAAACCAATTATGTATAGGATAAAACAAATTTATAGAATAATATATAGCAATAAATAATATTAAAAATATATAGGTATATAAAAAATACAAAGAAATAATACATAAAAATATAAATTAAAAAATAAAAATAATAAAATTAAAATAAAATAATAAATGTATTAATTGTATATTTAACCTCTCACTTTATAAACACGTAAAATGTGTTCAATCCTTTGTGTATCTAGAAGATCAAAGTCTACAGTACGAATAGATATACATAAATAAAGGAAATTTCAAATGAAACAACTAATTAACTTTGATTTTAAATAAATAAAAACGATCAAAACGAGCACTTTAAAATTTTTACTAATTGACGAAATTAGTTGGAGCTTAAGTCTGTATTGAGACCGGAGTATTTTTATAATAGATGAGAAAGGATATTATAACATTGAAAGTGCGATTACTGTTGTCATCCTCATTTATTAATTCTAAATGAGCATAATATATAAGATAATTGTTTTTTTTTTTTTTTTATGGGAAACAGTGTTAGGAATAGATAATGCAAAATGTATCTAGATAAAGATGAAAGATAATATGTCAAAATTCATCTAGATAAAGATAAAAGATAATTTCATTTTTATCTAGAAAAAAAAAAAAAGATATTGTTAAAAAATGTTATTTTTTGGTCAATATTTCATATTCCAATAATATCTATGAAGACTCAATTATAATCATTATTATCAATAGGTACCTAGGTTTTAATGTTTATTGTAGTAATGTAGTGTACCATTAAGCAGTATTTATATATAATGGACATATAATATGATATGATAGTTACAATATGATAGTCAATCACTAAAATGTTACAAAAAAAAAAAAAATGAAAATTGCTCTATACGTATCAGGATGAATACAGAATACATAAAAAATTATTTTATGTTCACAATATTGTTTTCCATATAATATTAATTTGATGATTTTTCATTATTCTACAAGTAGTTACGACTTTACGGGTTCCAAGAGTGAAGTAATGACTATTCAGCGTATGAGTTACATGTATATACTAAAATCAAATACCAAATTTGGAACTTCCGTGGGAAAATAAGAAATTAAGTTTAAAAATACCAAAAATATTTTCTCGACATGAATATATAAACAAAATATCATACCAAGAAATAATACACAAATTATGATTATGAATACAAAATCTATATGTATAAAAGAAAGTCAGGTTATTTACAGAATTTATAATTCAAGAACAGCTTGACCGATTTTGATGATCTCTGATTTGTTGGATTCGTTTCCGTATAAAAATAAAAATAACTCTAATCTTGGCAAAAATACAGATAATTATCTAGATTAATAAAAATGTTATCTTAGATAAGTAATTAGATAACTTAGCGTTATTTATCTAAATAAGATAAAAGAAGACAAAAATCTATCTAGATAAGTCCCAACACTGATGGAAAAGAACATATGTGTTATTGTGATATTATTTGATTATTATAAGGTTTATTTAGGTACCGATATACCGATTCATTTCAGTGATATTTTGGTCCAATACTATATAAAATGTAAATGTTAATTACTAATATTAATTAATATAACATTATATTTTTTAATAATATTTATGCAGTATAATACATATCATTATAGTAATTATTCAAATATAAATCGTAATAAAACTAAAATACACTTTTATAAATTAAAATTTTTTAAAGACAAAATTAGGTAGATCCATACTTATCTGACTACATTTTTTTTATAAAAAACCCCATTTAAAAAATAAAAATAAAATAATTATTAATATTAGATATGAAAACAATCAGTAATTCAAAATTTCAACTAACAATCTCTTTTTACGAAAATATATTAAATTAATTTTTCTAAATTTAGAATATTTTGAGTAAAATAGCTTTTAAGACTTAAATTATGAGCATTTAATTGTTAAATCATTTCAGTTTTTAATATTCTGAATTAGTTACTTAAGTTTACTTAACTTGCAGAACAACAATTAACTTTATATCCCAGTAATATAAATTTTCATTAATATTTGATAAATTACTAATTATAAAAAAAAAGCTGTGTAAAATACTTCACAATTTCAATTATCATACCTTTAAATTTGTGGTGCAGATTTACTATAGGTAGCAAAATGTTTCGTGTGTAATACAAGTAACCATCAAAGTGACTTAAACTTGGAACCTAAAAATAAAAAATAAAGAAAATAATAAAAAATGTTAAGTATTTTATGTTAACTCGCCATTTGTTACATAAAATATATTTATTCGATTACTGCTTACCTACCTTATAATACCTTGAAAATTATTCTGCCTCGGTAAAATTTAAAATTAACCTCTTTTTTCGTGTTCGTCTGTCGATTAATTATAACAAACTGAATAATGAAATTTAATCACACCATATTAAATAATTATGACTGAGTTAATAGTCCAGTTAATACAATGCTTAAATTTGGTAGGAGAGAGTTTCTCTTTTGTTTAACTTATGGAACACTTATTTTTCTTTTGTGTTTGCCCTCTTCTTCAAAGATTTTCCAAGTCAATAACAGGCATAATAGTAATATATAAACATAACAGTTGCGGCCTTGTGGACTGTTAATTGTCATATAATTGTTTAACTTTTATACTCCAAATTACAATATAATCGATTTAGCAAATATACTATATATTTTAGATTCTGAGTGAAACGAAAAATATATTGGTTTTACCATGATGTGTGTTTTTTGTTTTTTTTTTTTTTTTTGCTTAGACTAGTGATGTAGTCATAAAAAAAAGTTTTGAGTATACGCCAATTGTTAATAAAAACGATAAGTGGGGTTAATTACCACCACCCTTCTCCCATATTTTTTTTATCCGTGATCATTAAAATTAGCTAACAAAATACAAATCCAAAATTAATATCAATAAAATACAATTTAACACGATTTATTAGATACATCGACTTGCAGCAGTGTGAAAGGTTTTTAAACCATATTTCCGTGCAATAAAATTAAAAATATATGTGTAAAATTTAAAAATAATAACCGTTCCCAATAAACACGATAATAAGGAAATATGTTTGGTGTTTTTGATTTTTGTAGAAAAAAATGATAATATTCATTAATACTATTTATAATGATGAAGTTTATAGTATAGCTAGTATACTCGTTTACCCATGTATCACAAATTATAAGTATACGCATCAACAAAAAAATAGAGAAGTTGTTATACGCAATATACTCTCCACTACACCACTGGCTAAGACTGTGTAGGTACACAATTTTGACCAAAAGATCATCATAACCATAGGAGATTTATAATAGAAAATTTTATTTAGATAGATTGGAGTAAACAATTTTATTTATAATAGTAATAAACTAACCAACATTTGTAAAATATGGCAACATTTACGGCATAATGGATTTTCGACGAAATCGAATTTTTAATTTATTCATAACTTAAAAGATTGTAAAAACATTAAATGTTAACTAAATGTTTATACCATCGTTTGCTAAAAAATTATATAATTTACAAAATATTTTTTTTAATATAAAGCTATATAAAAAAAATTGAAATTTTCATGTTTTATAAGTTTTTTTCGAAAATGCCGATAAAATAATTTTGGTTTGACAAAAATTCTTGAAAATTGAATAAAACGTTGTATAATATTAATGGAAAAAAAAATTTAACTTCTTAAGAAAACAAAATTTACGAACTTTTAAGTATAACATTTTGACAAAATGATGAAAATCACAAAAATCCTTTGCAGACAAAAATGCATATAATTTCCAATTTCAATACTTAAGGCTTAAAAATTGAGTACAAGATTAAGCATTTGATTTTTTTTTTAGCCAAAACCAAAAAAAAAAAAATTACTGAAAAGTTCCAAAAATGAATTATAGGCGTTAAAAAATTGAATTTTAATGAAGTCAAAGTATTCCTATTAAGAATTATTTAGCAATATAAATGTCATAGTTTCTAATTATTTTAATGAAGTTTGTTTTGTTTATAGACACTTAACATTTTTAATTTTTCCAAATTATAATTGCTTTTTTTACGTGATTTTTACAAAATTAAAAAATCAACCTACCTTAGTAAAAAAATTTAATTTTTCTACTATATCAACCATCTTTAAAAATAAAAACTAATACACCCGATCTCTTTCAATTCTAATCGTTTTTACGAAAACAATGGTACCTACGTAGTTTAAAGTTTAAAATACTAATACAGCAATACTATTCACGTATTCCTATCTTACCCGACCTAGGAGGAGTTTCACCACTTTTTATTTTTTTATTATTTGTATTAACGTTATATAATTATAATAATGCGTTGATTTTTTTTTTTTTTTTTTTTTGTTTACCAATATTACACAAATAAATGTAATAAATAAGTGTACTTAACTTATGTTCGATTTAAATGATACACATACGACTAAAGGAAGGTAATATCTACTAATAACTATACAATTATAAATGGTATATATCAAACACTGGTGTAGCGAACCATATTTTTCATAAGCCGTTGTTTCTGGACATTAGGTGGGTGATGGAACGTGACTTGGCCACATATTGGTAAAAAGTTAAGTATATTGGAAGACTTGTCAAATTTTTATGAACCTTAGATAGTGTAGAGCAGCAGTCACCAAATGGCGGCCCGTGGACAGATTTTATACGGCCCGCAAACACGAAATAAAAAGTAAAAATCAATAATAAAATACATTGGTTTTTTACCGATAGGAGCAAATATTTTTTTTTTTTTTTTTTAAATTAAGCCTCGGCAACAATGGCCATTGGCAACAATGAGTTTAACTCTAAATTATTTACATGTTATATAATTTACATATTAAATACTATTGATAAGGTTGGACTTAGTAATAAAGGTTATTTTGAGTCTTATGTTGTCTGGGTGGAGGGCTTCTGACAGAATGTTTGAGATGCCTGCTTCCCGTCTATCCGTTTCGTATAAAAGGCATTCAGTTATGATGTGTTTTATTGAAAGAGGGGTACCGCAACTGGCACATAATGGTGGGTCTTCTTTCTTCATCAGGTACTGGTGTGTTAGTGATGTATGTCCTATACGGATTCTGTTAACTGAGGTTTCCATTTTCCTTGTAAAGTCTGATGGAGAAGGCCATGTGTGGATGGTATTTTTAATTTCGTTTAATTTGGATGTACCTTGTTTCCATGCACGTAGCCATATGTTGTTGGTTATTGTACTAGTTATGAGTTTGGCGTCGTGTAGGGTGAAATTATTAAGTCTAATGGCATCCGTTGATGTAAATGCTTGGCGTGCTTTTTGGTCAGCTCTTTCATTTCCCTGAATTTGATTGTGACTGGGTATCCATAATAAGGTAATTGAGTAGCCGGTGTGTGTAAGGTTATAGATCTGGTTCTGGATTTTCCAGGAGATCTCATTTGGATTGTAGATATTTTCAATACTCCTCAAGGTACTGAATGAGTCACTGAGGATTACTGCTTTGTGAATGTGATTAGTTTTAATGAGGTCTAAGGCAAATGAAATTGCAATTGCTTCGGCAGTGTATATTGAGCAAAAGCTGGGGAGTCTCAGCATGGATACTTGGTCCTGGACTACTACAGCTGCTCCAACACCGTTTTTCATTTTGGAACCATCCGTGTAAATTTCAGTAAAATCATGAAACCCGGAGATGATTGAATGTAGATGTTGTTTGTAAATTATGGGGGCGGTGTCGTTCTTCGAATATTTACTTAGTTCTCTGTTGATTGGGATATTTAATAGCCAAGGGGGCGTCTGTATGTTTTCATTCTTGATAACGTCCAGGTGGGAGAATGATATGTCTTTAAGGGTGTCATTGATTTGATTCATTACCTTGAGGTTATTTTGAGTGCGTCTGGTTGCTAGTAATATGGAGCTATGGACTCTCCTGATGTCGAGTGGGGCTACTCCAGCTGTATTGAGCACACTGGGAATCGGGCTGGATCGGAAGGCTCCGGTAACAAGTCTTAACCCTGTGATGTGTATGGTATCAATCATATTGAGTGCTGTTGCCTTAGCTTTTATGAACAGGAATGAGTTATATTCGAGTTTGGATAGGATGAGTGCTTTAAAAATTTGTAATAGACTAGAGAAGTGACTTCCCCATGACCTATGGGCGAGGCATTTTAGCGTATTCATTCTTAGAAGAGAGTCCTTTCGAATGGTCTTGAGATGTGGTATCCATGTGTTTCTTGAATCGAAGAGTATGCCTAATATTTTGATGGAGTTTTTTATTGGTAGGGGAATATTTTTCATATATATGGTGGTGTTAACAATATTTCTTTTATTAGTGAAAAAAGTACATTGTGATTTTTCGACTGAAAAAGAGAAACCCGAGACAAGAGACCAGTCTTGTAATGCAGTTATTGCATTCTGTAGGTAATTTATAGTTCTATTTGTATTGATGCCTCTGCAGAATATATTGAAGTCGTCGGCTAATAGTGTGCACATAACCGGAGGTTGTATGACTAGTGGTATATCGTTAATCGCTAATAGGAATAGCGATACCGATAGTGTGGATCCTTGTGGTACGCCGTTTTTTTGAGAGTATATTTTCGACAGTTTTTCATTGCACTTCACCTGGAAGGTTCTGTCTGTAAGGAAGTTCTGTATAAAATTGAATAAATTACCTTTACAGATAATGTTTGACAATTTTTTTACAATACGGGGGCGCCAGGTGGTATCATACGCTTTTGATATGTCGAGAGCTATGAGGCCCATAATTTGTTTAGCTTCAAGTGTTGAATGTATTTCCTCTTGGATGTCATGTAATGAGTTAGTGGTACTTCTATGTTTTCGGAAACCGTTCTGACGAGGATCCAAGAAATTGTTTTTTTCAAGAAACCATCTAAATCTATAATCTATAATTTTTTCCAATATCTTTGCCAAGGTATTCAAGAGGGATATTGGTCTGTATGATTTAATATCAAATTTGTTTTTTTTTGGTTTAAGAATTGGAATAATTATGGAGTGCTTCCAATTTCGAGGTATATGTCCAGATGACCATATTTTGTTGTATACTTGAATAATTAAATTTAAGGCGGTCATGGGGAGGTTGTGGATAAATTTATAAGGTATCCCGTCTGGTCTTGGGGCAAGACTATTACATTTTGATAAAACTCTGAACATTTCAGTTAGCTGAATTGGGGAGTTGAGTTTTGTCTGTTCATCAAGGTGTGGGTTGATGTTAGAAATAAAATTCTGGTTCCTCATGTGTACGTTTTTATCAAGGAAAGTCGTATTGGAGTTTTCATCCGAACTGTTATGGTAGAAAAAATCTCCTAAGAGATTGGATATTTCGTCAGGATCGGTGCATAATTTTGTGTCTTTCATGATGTGAATGTTGTGGTTCTTGGAGAAGCCTCGAAGTGACCCAACCCTGCGCCATATCAGAGCTGAGTCAGCTTTGGGTCCCAAACAGGACGTGAAGGTTTTCCAAGAGTCAGTCTTACTTCTTTTGACTAGATATCGCGTTTTCGCTCTCAGTTGTTTAAGTTTTATGAGGTCAGACATGTTTTTTGAACTTTGGAAGATTTTGAGTGCTTTGTTTTTTTTTGTTTGATTGACTCTTTTATTTGGTCATTCCACCAAGGGACTAGATTTCTTTTTAAAGAGTTAGTTGTTTTTCCTATGGCAACTTCTGCAGCTTTGATAATGAACTCTGAGATGAAGGTGGTATCGTCCTCTATTGTGCTGGTTTCAGATTGGGGATTTACATGCATAAAGGAGTCAACTAGGGTATTAAAAAAGACCCAGTCCGGGTTTTTTAACTTCCATCTGTATGGGAGGGGGGGTGGTAGTGTTTTTGTGGATAGGAGTGTCATTAGAATAGGTAAGTGGTCACTGTCATATATTTCGTGTAGAATTGACCAAGATATTCTTTGAGCTAGCGATACACTTGAGAAAGATAGGTCAATATTGGAAAAATGGCCGTTTGACGGATTAAGTCTGGTAGGTTCGCCATTGTTGAGTAGTGTAATCGAGTCGTCATCTAGGATTTTTTCAATTGATTTGCCTCGAGCGTCTGTTTTGTCTGATCCCCAATATTCGCTATGGCTATTGAAGTCGCCTAGTAAAATAAATGGTTTGGGTAGTTGCTTGATGATGTTGTCTATATCAAATGTGTTAAAAGATGTTTGGTTTGGGACGTATATGTTACATATTGAAATTTTTGATTCTATTGTTATTTGAACTGCGATGACTTCTAGATTGTGTTGTATCATCACCTAACACATATATTAAATTTAATAAAAATTAATATATTGTCAGCAAACACACACCACCTTCACAAAATGCTGACAATATAGATTAGAATAGCATAAAACGCCGCCCGCAAGACGGAAGGAGGGTTCGTTCTACTACCATCGACGTGGAGAACGAAACGCTGCCCGTTTTACGAGTGACCGGTAATTATTTTGTTTTTGTGGTTAATAAATATTTTTTCGTTTGTTTTAAAATAAAAAGTTTTTATATTATTATTTTTTCTACCTTACGTACTCGTGTAAGTTTTGAGAGAGTTGGCAAACTAACGAAAGGGGTAAATAAAATTATATTGCATTTCAAACCTCAATCCAGTGCTAGATTATAATTCTTTGTCAGTTTGAGGGGAGAGAACAATATAGTTAGGTAGAGGTTACCTCACGCTTGAAACATCCAGTGCTAGATCTTGTTCTTTGTCAGTTGTTTCGAGTGTAAAATAACTTTAGAGCTATTAAAGGAAAGTAAACCTTTTAAAAAACCTGTTTTTCGACTATCCTATTAAGCAGTGCTAGATTGTGTTCTTTGTCACTTAAGAAGATAGTCGTCCGGGTCAATTATTAAGTTTTCCTTTACTTGCTTGTTTGACAATTAGAGTGTCCGATAACCAATAATACCTCGTTTTGTGTTGTTATACGCCAAGCCTTTGCGTGGCGTATACGACAATTGGAATAGATATGAATCTGTTCACAGGGGTAGTCAATGTGTATTAGAGAAGCGACGCCGCCGCTAGCCCGAATACAGTTTTGTCGGTTGGTGTAGAATATATTGTAGTTTTTGATATTGGGTATGAGATTGTTTTTAAGATTTGTTTCTTGAAGGCTAATACACATAGGTGAATATTTTTTTATTACTAATTGTAGATCTGGCCGTTTTTTAATGAGGCTATTTATGTTCCATTGTATTATATTCAGGTTCTTCATAGTAGGATACTTTATTTAAAATGCAATATATACAATGAATGAGAATTATTATTTTTGTTGTTGTGTGTTAGTTGACGTCGGAAAGGGGGGTCAATTCGAGCAGTAAATTGGCTAGACTCGAGAATCTGTTCTTGATGCAGATGCTTTTGATTTTGGGACGGACTGTCTCCAAGATCTCGATCATTTCTATGGATGATATATTGAATGGTGTTAAAACACTGGAGGGATCTTGTCCTACTTCGGATGAGGGGGGCCGTAATTATACAACATACCTCTTTAATTGTGGTGAAGTTCTGGTTACTGCTATCGAGAGCTAATAAATACGATAAGCGACAGACGGTTACACACGTGTGTATCGGTCGGCTGTAACACACGTACTGAGGAGCAAATATTATAATTGTTGCTAAGCATATCTTATGGCTCATATCTAAAAGTTTGAAAAGATGTGAAATGTGCCGATTATACTTCAACAACAATTCGTCAATTACCACCGACCCGCGTTAACTTAATTCTTGTTGTATAACTTTATTACCTACTTTATTTTTATTTATGTTTGTGTTTTTTTTTTTTTTTTTTTTTTGATTATGGACAAGAAAAAAAAAGTTGTACTCGAAAACAGATAGTTTTTTCCTAAGTAGACGGAATTATATTGTTTTATTTACCCGACCGCTCAGGGGCTTTGTCAGTTTGTTTAATTTACCACCAGACGTAACTGATATTTGATGTTTTCAATACTACGTCATTATGAGTCTTAATATATATATATATACTCGTATATATAATAAACCGAACATTTTTTTTACATTTTAATATGCTAAAAATATTTGTTTTGAATTTCGATGGCACCGAAAATTTAAAAAATTCCCAATGTGGCCCTTCAATTAATTGATTGGCAGTGCTGCTCAATAATTTTCGGGGCCTAGTGCGAAATGTATTTTTTATACGAAAGGGTACAAATACATCGAAATACCACCGGCACGTGGTTTGGTCAATTCTAGAACCCATTAATATCGATTTATATAAAATTGTTAAATAAGTTTTCATTAATTTGTTACGCCCACTAGATTACTTATTTACTATGCAAGTCCCGTTTTGTTGTAACTATATGTTCAGCACGACCAGGCCTCGTTTGGCCAATTTCCAGAGTCCGCTAAATCTATTACTAACCACTGGAGATTTAAAAGTAGATTCACTTCAATCCTGAACATCTGTCGATTGATTATTATAAAAATTGTAGATAATAAAGTTTCTACTGAATTTTCTAAAGATTGTCTAGATTGTAAGACTATCATAGATACATTATCCCAGTGGCGTATTTTCAAATTTTTTGTAGGGGGGGTCTAAATATTAAGTACCTATAAGTTTATAATATAAAAAAAACACATACGAGTTATGATATAAATATGTATTAACTATATTATTTATATTACATTATGTATATTTCACTACTATTATGATTTATTAATACAAATTAATAGTTTTTTATAAAAAAAAAAGGTAAACGTCTTTTTTTCCTCGCCAGTTCTTCAATAACTTCTTCCGATTTTATTGATTAGTTTTTATTTATTGATAACATCGTTAAACCGTTCAATCTTCCCTATAAACAAAAAAATAAACAAAGTGTTTAATTGTAATTTGTAGATAACAAGAATATTTTTTTAAATTTATAATAATTTACCTCTGACATGGAATTCCTTAGATACGTTTTTATTCTTTTTAAATTTGAAAATGTTCTTTCATTTGTTGCAGAGGAAACAGGTAGCGTGATTAAGATTTGAAGAAGTTTAAATATGTTTGGATAAATTGACTAGTTACACATAGCCATAGCCTCTAGAGCATTATTTGGTTTCTCTGTTGTTTGCATGAGTTTTCTCTGCCATAATTTGTATTTTGCTTCAATAATTTGATTTTGAGATCTATCATTTAGGAAATCTTCAATATATTTATTTGAAAGAATTATAACATCTTCGATGGGACCATTTTCCCTAAATAGAGAATCGAAACCTGATAAAATCGATCGATGAACATTGAACCTTTCTTCTAACTCTGTAATAAATTTGTCAAGATAAGGAATAAAAATTGATGCTCGTTAATATTGTTCCAAAGTATTTAATGGTATATTGCATCTATTAGTTTGTTTTTTTGTTAATCTCGGAATTTTAATTTCAATATCAAATTTTGCGGCTACTACTTTTACTTCTTCAAATATTTCCTTGAAAACATCATCGGCGTGTGTTCGGAGTTCTTGTAATTCTTTTTGTGTATCATTTGCTAATTGTAGAGCCAATTTAAGATCGATATTTGATTTTTGTAGGAACTTTGAAAGTGGTAAACCTATACTAAAACCTTTGTTTAGTACAAATAATGATATCACAAACTCTATATCTAAAATAGAACTTCTAAGACGTCTTGCTTTATTAGAAGTATCGTTATCGTCCCATTCCGAAATTGTATCCAATGCTTCAATGACGTACTCATAAAGTCTAGAAAATCGTTTATTGCGTGAAATCGTTCTATCCATCTAGTTTCACAACTTCTTTTCAATGACTTTTTTGTTGATGTTTCTGATGAATTTTCAATATGAAATTGAAGAATTGATTTTCTTTTCGGAAAAATAAAGAAATCGCGGACTTTCCCTAAAATTGCTAAACAGTCTCTTATTTGGGTCGCGCTACATGATTTAGATACTACCAGGTTTAACACATGTGCTGAACAGTGTACATAAATTGCTAAAGGGTGTGTGTCTTTAATATGTGCTTGAACGCCATTAAATTTTCCCGACATAGTGGCTGCCTCATCATACCCCTGACCACGTAAGTATATTATATCTATGCCAAAATTTTGTAGATTATCAATTATTAATTTCGCCAATCCTTTCCCTGTCATGTCAACATATCTGACACACAAAGATACCTGTTCTATACCCGACACATCAGCCGTTTCGTCAGCAAGAACAGTAAAACATTTTGCTTCGTTTACTCTTGAAACTATTTTGTTCAATAACAGTTTATTACAGGAATCGATTATTTCATTTTGACTAGTAGAACTTGTGTACTTAATGGTACCAGAACTTTCAAGATATGATCTCATATCACTATCGCCTTGGGCCATATAGCGAAGAATTGCCCTAAAATTACCATCATTATTTTGTTTGTCATTTGAGCATGCTTTGAAAATGTTCCCAGAGTCACGATGCCCTCGTAGTGCCATATTTTGCCGACCACACAAAATAATTGCCTCAATAACAGGAATGATATTTTAACGATTTTGTATTATTTATTTTTTCCTTCCAATATCAATTTGTTTGTCTACTGATAAAGTGGGATTTTTAATAATATTTAAAAAGTTTTCTGAATCTAATATACATTTTTTATGGTATTCTAGTTGCGAGTGATTTTTGAAATATTCTAATGCATGTCTCCAGTTGTCATATTTTTTTGTAACTAATGATCCTAATTTTTGATTATTAATTCCAGCATAATTTGTTGAAAAATCTACACAAAATTTACAATACGCTCCATTGTCTATTTCAGAATACACTAACCAAGGAAAGCTAGCAAACCATTTATATTGGAACTTCAAGTGCCTAGCAGTTTTATCTTTTCCAACAAAAAATACATTCACAGGAAAATTATAATTTACATCGCGAATCCAAATTGCATTTAGTATATCATGTATTTCATTTTGAGTCAATACTCTTTTGACGTAATTGAAAATATCGTGTCTATTTATATGGGACGTGGACGACGTAGGGATAACAGGTCTGATGCTGAAACTACTGAATCTGTGTTATTTTGTATATTATCAACTTTTTGAGGTTTGAAGAAAGACTGAATATTGGGTTTCTTTTTAGAAGTCATAATTGTGATCTATTTAGAATAATATATAAAATACATTAATATTATGTATAGGTACCTAGTGTATACATAATATCATTTTAAAATTTTCATTTTACACGTTACATCAAACAATAAATAATAATATTTGTAAATTAAATTTGAAATTATAAATTAACAATTACCTTACGTCCTTACTGTCCATGTAGCGAATTAAGCAAATTTTATGTCAATACCGTATAACAAACTGCAAATTATTACGGGCGAACGAACGCACTACACAGAATGCCAGATGCCTACTATAATATGTCAATAACAGTCGGCGTACCTACTAATATAATCATATAATAATTATTATTATGTTACGTCGTTGTCGTCGGACTCGTTTTCGTCGTAATTGTCGTCGTCGGGCGGCGACGACGCGACAAAAATAACCAAAAGTTAAACCATAGTAAAAACCCATAATATAAAATTAATATTCTCTTTCTCGGTACCTACGTACCAAGTTTTTTTGACTTTTTAAATTTTTTTCTGGGGGGGGGGGTCGAGACCCGGGAACCCTCCCCACCCGTAAATACGCCACTGCATTATCCTGAAGGACGTGAACAGTTGCAGATACTATCATTTCCGCACCATCGCGCCGTCGTTAGTCGCTGTACACCGTCATCTACGAATTCGCAAATAAAAAAAAATTAGTTTATAAAAAAAATTACCGTTAAATCATCAAGTCAAAAATATTAGGTAACTAAATATTAAATCCAGAATTGGGTATAATTAATCGTCCACAGGACCGGATTAAAAGTTTATCGGGCCTGGAGTCTAGTAGTACAAAGGGCTCTTAATCCTTATAATATTACCGATAGCTGAATTTTATTTCTTTAAAAAAATTATTCAAAGTAATTGATTATACAGAAATATCTTTAACCTTTTTTAATATTTATCAATTTTCGTTACATGCAAATATACAATATTATTCTTAAAATGTAAAAATATAATTATAATATTTTAAAACTAACTTTATTCTCTTATTTTCTCTTCTCTTTTTGGAACTCCACAATAATTTCATCTGTGTTTATTTCTTTTAGTAGAGATCTCAATTACAGATACAAATAATACAATTACGAAAATTAAAAAAATATATAATCAAAATAAAATTTAAACCTCAAAGATTTTGAAGAGGGTTTATGATAGAAGGCCCCTTTGGGATCTTAAATATTTTATGACATGGAGCCCGGGCTCCTAGGCTCCGTGCTTAATCCGGCCCTGATCGTCCAATGAAAGGTTTTTCCTTGTTCGCTGTGGTACGGAGTTTATGTGAAACGATTTAAGTCTTCCCAGAACATTTACTACGAGCCACTCGCCGTTGACGCAACGGCGCGTTACCGTCATCGTACCGGACGTGACCACGCACGGGCCCCGTTTATCGCGCAGATACGTGCCGTACACGTACGTTTGTTTACCCGGCGGCACGGACCGAGATATCGCTATCAGATAACGGGGCCGCTCGTATCACTGTGCGTTGTATCGCGCAGTCAGCGATAGGGAGCACGGGGCAGCTGCTGTGCTAGTGAACAACAATTATTGTAGAACGTACGCCGCGGTTGTCGTGATTCTTGTGAAATCGCACGCCACGACCGGGCCCGGTGTACCCGAGTGGTGTCCGTCTACGGTCATATTGTTCCGCCGCACCCGCTCGTGGAAGGGATACGCACGCGAAAAACCGTCGTCGAGTCGCAGTGACGGACGCGGCGCACCGACGACGATCATGGCAGCCGCGCGCCGACCGGGCGCCAAACGACCATAACGCGGTGGTTCGTTGCGGCTATCCGACACGACATGGACATCGATCCGATTATAGTGTCCACCAGCTTGGAAGCTCTGATCGGTGAGTGGCCCTTCTCTCACCACCACCCGCCCCTCTGTTCGTTTGCGCGACACGAGTCCGCCTGCCTGACGCGTCCGAGTCGGAAGAGCTCGGCGGCACCGCCGGAACGCGGCTCGTGCAGCTGTTCGCGCTGTACCGGTAAACGCGCGGTCCGCCCGGAAACGTTTGAACCGCCGTCCGGTCACGGACACGCGGCACCCGTTTCATTGGTTCGTTTTGACGGACGTGCACGACGACCGGGCGTAACGTGACTCGCGTCCGGTGTTGTTCACGTACCATCCGCAATGTTATGCACGTCTCGTTCCGTTGGCGGTTGTTCCCCACGTTGTTGTCCGGTACGATGAAAAACATGCCACTCCGTTCGAAGTATGTTTCGCTTCTCCCGCCCCTTTACACTACTACGGGTCGGATGAGGTTTTGATAGTTTTATATGATCTGCACCACTATTACCCCACCAAGGCCTCGAATACCCAAGTGAAAGGAGCCCAAACAATCTTAAGCCGATACACATTTTTTATCATTCTAAATTAGTAATTTTATAAGCATGAATTATATATACCTATTAATTTTATAATATAATTGGCAATTTGTGAAATAGTTAAAAAATGTCTGCGAGCGTAGTGAGCAGCTTTGTAAAGGATCTTTTGTCAAAAAGGCCCATATAAAATTTCAGCCCTAGGGCCCAATAAGTGCTTAATCCGACCTTGACTTCCACTTCTACGACTTTACTGTACTACTTACTTATTTTTTTTTTTTCAATTTCAACGGTTTTCATCACAATTTATCACCTTCGATTCAATTGCGTGAATTACAAAGAACTTGATTTAGTATTAAGAATTTGAAAATGAGAATTTAATTACGTTTTTTTTTTCCAACATTTTTTTATTCAATTTGCAATGATACGATAACAATAAGAAAAATTGATAATAATAATAAATAAATAAATAAAATAAAAATTTACAGTCAAGACAGAGTGTAGAAGCCTCTTATGGAGGTGCTACGTGTAATAGCACTACATTAAATTTTTATTGACATTTGATAAATAAATATATTGCAACACATAATATAATATTATTAGTATATAATTCATATCTTATATCCATTGCTAGATATAAGAGTTGCATTAGATAGAGAGAGGTAGAAAAACATTCTAGAAGCAGCGATAGTCCTTAATGAAACTGCTATAAACCTAAGGAAAAGAGTATTAAATTGGTAAATTATATTTTTCTTTATAGAAAGAGCAACTAAAAACAGCAATGAAAAAATTGATAGTGCTGCAATGATTGCTTTTAGTGGATTTGTACAAAGAGATCCAGAATGTGCTCCATTGGCTGCTAAATGTATTTTGGCCAAAATTCATTCCATGCAAGAATGGGAAGCTTTACAAGCCCTTCATGTAATTTATTTTTAATTCATAAATGAAAATTAAATTAATTTTACTATAATATTAAATATTACATAAAAAAAAAAAATTGTTTTCAGTTATTAGACATTTGTATGCAAACTGGTAGTGCCAGTTTTCAAGCTGAAGTTGGCAAATTCCGTTTCCTTAATGAACTTATTCAATTGGTATCTCCCAACTTCAATGGAATACATACACCAGATTTAATTAAAAGCAAAATAATAGAACTCCTTGGGTTATGGTCATCACAATTTCCCAAGGAAATCAAGATACATGATGCTTTAGATATGTTAAAAAAACAAGGTGTAGTTAAGGTAATATATTATGTTATATATTGTAAATATTTGACAGTTATGTATTATTCTTATGTATATTGAAGGACTTATTATTTGAAAATTTACCGTCATCAAGAACTTCTGTTCCAAAAATTGAACCAAATAAAGTATCAATATTGAATGGAGAAAAATCATTATTGTTGCAAAAGTTGCTTAAAAGTAAAAAATCAGAAGATCTTAAAGCTGCAAATGAATTAATTAAATCCATGGTTCAAGAAGTATGCAATTTAAAATTTAAAATCCTTTTTTTTTTTTTTTTTTATAATGTTTTTGTATTTTAATGCAGGAAGAGCTGAAAAATGAAAGAATGAGCAATATGTTAGCTGATATTGAAGTAATATCTAATAATGTAAAATTGCTCTCAGAAATGCTCAAATCATACTGTGATGGTACTGGTTCTTCTAATGATTTAGAACTTATTAGAGAGTTGTATAATACTGTTAAAAGGTTGGAACCAAAAATCCAAACAATGTTAACCCAAGAAATTCCGGAAGACGAAGATACTGTTCGTAAGTATCCTATTACTTTTATATATCACAAATTAAAAAGTTAAGGATCTTCAATTATTATTTTTATTTTATGTTTAAAATATATTATAATATATTTACTATTATTATTTATTAATTTAAAATACAATATTCAGTGTAGTTTTATTTCATTATAATTAATTATTGAATTCATTATAATTTTAGAAACATTTTAACTAAAGTTTTATAAAAAAAAATTCTATTGTTATTAAAGTTTTTTATATAGTGTAATATTTACAAAAATAATTGTTACACAAACTTTTATGAAAGTGTATATAAATGTAAATACATTTGGATCAGGGTAGTCCAATCTTTTGTAATTGATGGGCCAATTTATAATTTCAAAAAAACAGTGGGGTGGGGACTACTAAAAAAAAAAAAAAAAAAAAGATCTATTAAAACCTTCAGTCAATAATCGCCACCTAATAATAACTATAATTATAATGAATTTCACGATCTCCCATCACAAGAATTTGGATTAGCTATAAATGCTATACAAACACGATACCTACATGTGTATGTAGTGAACCAATTATTATTTTGGACGTTACTCATTACACATATACCTATATATGAGTGTTATAGGATAAAAATTAAAAAGTATACAATCATTTAACGTTTTTTTTTATAATATTATTGTGTCTTTTTTTAATATGTCTCTTCTATGGGGAAGAAGGCTTCAAGAGCTACGGGTTAAATCAACCTTATGTAAGTTTTATTCAATTACATTGTTAAATTTATTATTTACAGGAAAAATAATAAAACTTAATTTTGAAGTAAATGAAACATTAAAAACTTATAATCAAGTTTTACAAAGTCCGGTTAATTTAAAACCCAAAGAACGAAGAAATGAAGAAAACTTATTAGATCTTAATATATCAATATTGCCTGGTATGTATTTCTGATGATTATATTAATAGAAACCACTAAAATTCACATTTATTGATTTTTTTTTTTTTTATATATATAATTATTTTTTTTTAAACTGATTCTTATTCGTAAAAATAATTTGATAAGTTTATTCAAAATTATTATTATTATTGGTATTTTTGAAAGTTTATAAATAATATATATTTGTATAATATATTATATCTATATTTCAGAAAACAAAGATTTTTTAAGTGAATCTAATTGTGAAAAAAATAGCTTATCAAACAATGGTTTAGAGAATGTTAAGGAGTTAGATGACTTTTTGCAAATGCCAAGTCCGTTAAAAACTTTTATTCCTACTTTGCCTGGTATGTATGTATAGTCTTTTTTTTTATTTTTTTTTACGTTTATTCAAGGCCATTTAGGCGCATTGCAGCTTCCACTATCTCCATCCATGTTTCTCTGTATTCTCCCAATTCCTCTCCATTTATAACTCCTAACGTCCTAATATCTTTCTTGACTCAATCCTCCCACCTTTGTCTAGGCCTTCCTCTCGGTTGCCTCTTGTTGGGTTTCCATTTCATGATGGCCCATAAGAGTTGGTCTTTTGCTCTCCATACGTGTCCGGCCTATCTTATTCTTTGGCTCTTGAGTGTGGCAACTATACTGGGTTTGTTAAATAAAGCATTCAATTCTCTATTTGATCTTATTTCATAAATACCCTCCTCATTTCTTTTTAGACCAAATATTCTACGCAAAATTTTTCTTTCGAAGATTATTAATTTGTTTTCGTCTGATTTGGTAGGTGCCCATGCTCCACAGGCGTATAGTACAATTGGTCTAAAGAGGGTCTTATAAAGTCTTATTTTCATTCTTCTTGATAGTTTTTTAAATTTAAATAATTAGACTAATGAGTTTTTGTTGCCAGCTGTGTTTCTCCTGTGTATTTCCTCGTGGTTATCTGCCTGTGAATTTATATCTACTCCTAAGTACTTAAAGTTCCAAACTCTTTCGAATGACATGGCTTATTGTTATATGACTTTTTGGGTGTTTCCTCCTAGATACAATCATGAATTTGGTTTTATTTTCATTAATAATAAGCCCAATCTTTCCCGTTTCCTCACTCAACATTTCGGTTGTTCTCTTTAGGCTATCCTTTGTCTCTGCTATTATGACTACATCATATGCATATGCGGCTAATGTCATCTGTTTTTCTTGTCCTATATTCAAACCTTATGATTTGTTTTGCATTATTCTTCTAATTACCGATTCCAAGGCAATGTTAAATAAAACCGGAGACAAAGCATCACCCTGCCTTACCCCTGTATTTACTGTAAACTCCTCTGATATTGCTCGGTTGAACTTCACTTTGCACCTTGAATCTATTAAAAGTTAATAACAAAAATAAAATAAACAATAAAATCCTTTCTTAGAAAATATGAAGTTGCCAGAAAAACATGTAGACATTAAAGAAGGTATATTTAATGTAGACTTATTCGAAGAGTTAAATATTCTTGGAAGAGATATTCTAAATAAACCAAATGAAACCAAAAATAATGAAAAGTAAGATATTCTTTGTATGTTATTAATACTGACATAACATTATTTTGTATAAATATATTTTATTTTTATATAAATCTATGTTTTTCAGAATATTAAATTTGACAGATACAAGATTTAAAACTGATAGTATTGAAGAAAATAATTTATCAGAAAAAATAATGTTAATTTCAGAAGATTCAAAAACATTATTACCATCAACAAATTATAATTCTCAGTTAAAACCTCTTGGTGATATAAATATCAAACTTGAAGACATTATTCCTGGTATAAATTTAGTGGTTATTTTATATTTTACAATTTTACTCAAATATTATAAATATTCTTGAGTAATAAAATAGTAAAAAATAAAATAAAAATTAGCAAATGGTCAATACTTATAAATTAATATAAAAAGTATGTATAAACTAAGTCAATAAAATCGCGGTTTTATTGACTTTATATATATCTGACGATGAGTTTTTAATTTGAAACTGGTTGTATTTTAGAAATCTAATACTTCAGGCTAAACATTTATTTATTTATTAAATATTCTTGTTCCAATAACTTAAAAGAATACTTTTTATTATATTTAACAATTTTAAATAAAAAAATTAAGAATTTAAACTTATGTTTTATGTTTGTAATACCATACCAATAGCTTTGCTATTATTTTATCTATGAAAACATATTTTTTTATTATTATAGATCCTGATTCAAACATTGTCAGTTTATTTGATAAGAATAATATTAGTACAGAATTACATTTAGCAGCAAATAAACCAAGGAATGATGTTACAGTTTTTGTTGTGACAACTAGAAGTAAATGTAAACAGCCATTATTTGATTTTTCATTCCAACCAGTAGTACCAAAAGTAAAATTTTATTAAATTTAAACTTTATTTCATATTTATTTATTTTTTTTTTTTTTTTTTTTTTAGGAGTGTAGAATACGTATTTTACCACAATCAAGAAATTATCTTCCTATTTATAATGCATTTTTACCACAAGAAACAATAGTACAAATTATACTAGTAGCATCTCTTAATAAGGTTAGTATTTTATTCATTTTACTTACAGACAAATAATAATATTGTTTATGTAATCTGTAGGCACATATATCTTTAAAATATGTTATAAGTTATACTATTGATGGTGAAATGTTTACTGAATTTGGAGAAACTGGACCAATCGTTCAACATTAAACAATAGGCTGTTATATGATCTCAATACATTCTTCTTAAAAATGGAGTACTCATTATGTGAATACAATTTAATATTTATAATCAAAACATTAACTTTATCAATATTACCCATATTTAACATTGTATTAGAGTATAAACATTGTACAAGTATTCAGACACAGTTTTAAGTAAACTATACAAATGTTTTGATAGAATTAAAATATAAATACAATTTAGGTTCATTATGTTATTTTTTTTTGAATGACGTGTCTGAATTTGATTCAAAATAGTTAAAGGCCATAATTAATGTAATTGTCACTTTTTAATTATTTATTATAAATTTAAGTATTCTAAACTATTCATTAATGTTCCTTAGAAATTTGTGATTTATGTATTTATTTTGTGTCAAAATTTACATTTTCCCCTTTTTGGCTATTTTTAATTGTATGTACACTATAAATTATGTAAATAATTTCTTTCTAAGTATTTATTTGTTTTAACATTGTTAAAGAAATTGTGATTAAATTATTTTGATTTCATATACTAGTCATTTAAATTTTGAATATTGAAGTTAAAGTTAATATATTATTTATTTAAAATTATTTAACTTTATTATTAAAACTAGTCAAAATTAATTATAATAGCCTAAAAAGAAAGATCATAACTTGAAAAATAATTATCGTGAATTATTAATTTAAAAATTATTTTATATCTAATTAAATAATTAAATTACTTTTGTATTTTCAATTGATATTTATCAATCAAATTTACTTCAATCTTTACATTTTATTTTATGAAATAATATTATCATTTTGTTATTTTCATTCATATTAAATTTTATATATTCATAACTCACTGCAATTTCAAACTATGGGTTAAAGTAAATCTGATGATTTATCATTGTTATATATTAAATTCATACTTGTTTATAAACTTTTTAAGTATAAGATCTCTATAGTTCCTCTTATATTTTAATTTATTGCTTTCAAATATCAAATGAAACATTATTGTAATTTATAGTATATGTCGGAACTGAAATTAATAATAAATATATCTAAACGCATTAAGTATTATGGCAGTTGATCTTAAAACATTATTTTTCTCCCATTATTTAAATTGATTTATTATGTATAATATGTGTTTTAATAATACATTGGAACATTATGCATTGTACGACTTTCTCCAAATATTCATTGAGCTATTAAGTAAGTATTAATGTAGACACTCAAGATCTAGATATATAAAAACACCAAATACCACTCACTCACTGATCATTGCTATATCTTAAAATCAATAGATCGTATGAACTTGAAACTTGACATGGTAGTTTCACTAACTCCCTAAGTATGCAATAAGCAAGGATTTTCCAAAATTGAATTCTTAAGGGAGTAAATACAAAAACTGGTTAATATAACTTGCGCAACACTTCAAACTACAAATTTTATTATAATCGCTATTCGCTTGGTACGTGGACATTCATTCATTTGTACTCCTTACTTTCAGGCTGAAAAACGTGACTCGTGGCCCCAGTGTTGGTCTAGTTCATGATTGGGCCTCCGGTTAAAAATTTACAATGGACCCCTAAACAAAATAATATTGAAGTGAGATTCAATAAATCCCAACTAAAAAAAAGTTTTCTCGCTACGCTTGACCTCTACTACAAATTTTAACTTATTTTTATATTTTCCCCAAGCCAATATTATCTAATTATTATTGTGTTTGTATCTATGACCGTTAACAACACTTATCATAATTTTTCAAAATATTTATACTTGTTCGATTTTGATCAAGAGTTCAAAAATGTATAAACTATAGTGGTTATACCTAGTTCTTAAATCATGTAAACAATATTTTAAAATTAAGATAGGAATAACATTTTAACAATAACAGTTCATAATTATGAAAATGAAAAAGTTATTATTATTATTTAGGTATATTCCATTAATATATGTTAAAAATATCAACATATTTTAGTAGCATTACTTTTGGAATTATGACTACCTTAATAATCAAAATCTATTTAGTGAAAAAGTTGTTATTGACAAATTTTATTATTTTTACTCAATTTTTCAGCAGTTTTTCGTCAAGCCTAGAAAAAAAACTATTGAAAAAAGAGAAAAATTATGTTTAAGAACTATTTGCATGGACTTTCTATAGTTCTATAGTTGCTGGTTTCAAACTTTGGGACCACTATTACTATCCAAAAAACTGATTACAAAAAAAAAAAAATCAACAGCATTGTTTACTCAAAATCTAAAAAAAAGTTTTAGTCAATTATTTAATGCTTTATTTATATGTATTGTATAGGGAAAACTGAAGGGAAGGATGTATGTCGATATAGTCCTAGTGGCCGAGATTACCGAAGAAGAAGAAAAAATATAATAACACACACTATTAGGTGGATTCGCAGAAATATTGTTTAAAAATATTTGGATTATTTTATTTTAGTTGTATTGAAAATACTAGATAGGCTTAGTGACCTGCTCTATACATCATCAGTGCCGGATTTAACCATTTTGCCGCTTTAAGCACTAAATAAATTGCCGCCTTTTAATATAAATATTTTTCTAGTCTAAAAAATGTTATTAAAGCATATAATTATAGTTGTTTCCCCTATTGCTTAAAATTTTAATGATATTATATAAGAATATAAAGCTATTATAAAAATACACACATACATTCACATGAAAAATTTAATTATAAAAATATGATAAAAAATATAATGATAAAAAAACATGGTAATAAAAAATGCTTAAATAGTTAATTTTTAAATTATATTCAAAGCTAAAAACTTAGTAACTAGTACCCATCGGCTTTAATAAAATAAAACATTTTATAATTAGTTGAATTTATTTTAGTTCTAGTTACATACATAATAAAAATGTAATGTTAAACATTATTTGCCGCCCTAAGCACTAGCTTATAGTGTTTACTGGGAAATACGGCACTGTAAATCAAGCGTATTAAAAAAAAAAAAATTGAAATGACGCCACTGGTAGCCCGTTTTGCTGAGTCGTACCTACAATTATCAATGAAATTGTTATTAAGGGGGAAAAATAGTTTTTTTTCCAGAAAGAAGGTACTCCATGCTCATTTCAGTTATTGTTATGTTCATAGTTATGTCTGAGACTCGCGTGGCATCGATTGAACGGTTTACGATAAACCGTAGAAAAAAAAGTCGACCTTTGTCGATCAAATTTTGAACAAAAAACAAATGTTTTCATCTGACTACCGTTTTCAATTTGGTTACAGTTTCCTGTCTAGGTCTGTTTTACCATAGCAATCAACAAAATACAAGGGAAGACTTTGATAGTGGTAGGAGGGGATTTAAGGAATAACTGTTTCCCCATGGTCAATTGTACGTTGGTGTAAACTTTCCTAACAGGCTGGTAATATTGCAGTCCGAAGAAAGAACCAAAAACTTCGTATACAAGGAGGTACTACAAAGAAAAACATTAAATACCGAGTAGGCACATACAAAATCAAAAATTTAAATGTAATTAATGTAACACGATGGATTCAGTTTGGTTCAATATTCTTTACCAGAAATAAATTTAAATAAATAAATAAATAAAAATATTTTTTAAAAAAATGCAAATACCACTCACTCATTCTTCATCATTACATCTCGAAAATTACAAAATATATGAACTTGAAATTTTACATAGTGGTCTCTCCAACGGACGTGCAATAATAAGGGATTTTAAAAAATATTAACACTGGTAAAGACGGTTCCATGATGCGAAATTGAGTACGTCAACGTTCTACCAAAACTACTAAACCGATTCATTTGAAATTTTGTTTTATTTGTTTAACAACCAACAGTTACACAAAACTAGGCTTTAAATAGTGGTAGATTATATTCCATTAAAAACTATGTCACGGACAAGACTGTTCCGTGCGAACAGGTAATTCAACAAGTTAAGTATATTATATAGGTAATCACAAATATGAAGGTACTATTTGTTTAATTAAAAATGCATTATTTGAGTTGGTATTAAAATGTTACTGTTAATGAAAATTAGTGCTTTTTCTTATTTAATATTCCAAATTCGAAAAAAAAAATTATATCTAAAGTAATTACGGTTAGAGCATCCATATAATAATTTATAATATATACGCAATTGTGTGTCCTTTGATTTTTTTAAATACCTATTAATTTACATACAATTATTTATCAACCAATTACTGTAATAATACATTAAAAATTTTACCATTCAACCTAATAATTAAATATTTGGACAAAAAAATGCTATCAACAGTAAAATTATCATCCAATCCCAATGGGCATTAAATATTTTGTTGGACAAATTAAATAAACATTAGCTCCTTCGTGACAAGTACCTGTTAATTAAAAAAAAATATTTTATAATTTCATTTTTGGGTTTTAAATAAATTACAAAACAATCGTCGTTCAAGCACTCTACATTAACCATGCACACACATGCACATCATCATAAATTTCAAAAGATAACCTAACCGCCTGCACACAGTCTCGTCAATAAGAATGGTATCGACGAAATAATATATTAATGTTTGTCTAGCCCAGAAGCTCTTAAACCTTTTTGTTCGTGGAGCTCATATGTTCCTGAAAAAATTTACAGAGCCCCGAAAATTAGTTATGTTTATTTGAGACAACAATGATTATCAATTTTACGGCGAGAAAAACACATAGCTCATCATTGAATTTTTTTTTTTTTTTTTAGAAACTGGAATTTTAACGTTTGATGTGAAACCATGTTAATTTTACCTTGCAGTGGCGTCGAACCTTTTTTATATCACTGGTGTAAACCCTAATTATGGGTACACACCTACTCACTAAAAAATCATAAATAGCAAGTATTCTATACCTGTGAGCTACGAGTACTTACTACACATCTAGTCATTACATAATATTATGGAATATTTTACCGTACAATAATATATCTACCACTCATTAAGTATTTACCCCACTTGCCATACGTTTTCGGCACTACTGTTATCTTGTATTCATAAATTTACTTCATTTTGTTTTAAGAAAATATCAGCCTAGTAATGAAGTCGAAAGCACCAAGTTACAGTTCGAGTAATCGTACCAGTGTTCTTCCTCGAAACAAAAAACATAATAATAATTGAATTTAACAGGTTCAGATTTGCCCACGGAGCCCCTAAACTTCTATCCCGGAGCACAATTTTAAAACCACTAGTCTAGCCCATAAATTAATACACATAGGGTAATTAATTTATGATCTAGTCATTAGAAAATTCAACGAAGAAATTAATTTCACTAGACTTTAATGATTATTCATTGAATTTTTTTTTGAATTCCCATTTGGCGGGGAAAAAAAATGAAAAAATGACGACGACCACGGTAGTGAATCAACCAGTGAAGCGTCGGCCACGGAGCGACCGCTGCATCATTGCGCTGCCAAAAATCGGTTCTAACTTCATGCCGGTCGCCACTCAACCGTGTAGTGGCCATAGCGTCGCCGTTCACGAATCGAGATTCGTATTAGCGTCCTAAACACGTTGTTTTGACGCGATTTCCATGTTGTTTTCTCGTCGCTTCTACTCACACGTCTTCCATGATAGTTAGTCGTCTTACACTTAAGTAAATAAACTGCATTTAACGTTATGGTCGGTTATTAATCGATTACATCAGCGAACACTCGAAATCTCCGTCATCTTCGTTCGCCGTGCTGTTAATAATGGTAAGTTGAACTGCTGAACACACATTATTTGACCCTGTTTATTCGATTCCGGTGATTATGCAGTTCATCGCGACGTTCTATAATCGATCGATCGATATTGATTTTATTTGTCATAAGTTCAACAGTTTCTCGTCATCTTGAACACGGTGTTTTATTCTATTGTTTTTTCTAAAATACGCCGTTCAGTTGGTGTTGTCAATGCTCACGCGTATTCTCTGTTATTAAACTTTATTATTAATTACTGTTTATCTTCATTCGCTCAATCGCGTCTGGCAACGTGCGTGTGCTCGCTTAATTATTATTTCAGAGTTGCATAATCATCGCCAGTCATTGGTTACTATAACAATAGTAATATGAAACACAACAGTCTTTACATACGTAGTTAGGATCGTGGCTTGAGCTGAACTAATATTATTTGTTTTGTTACGCAATTTTGTCCTGCTGTTTCCTTCCATCTCCAGTCAAATTGATTATGGCGGACGATTTTGACATTGAAGCGTTGCTTGAAGCACCGTATAACAAAAAAGAGCCAGAAGCTCCGCCTAAAGAGAGTAACGGCACTGAGGAAAAATCACGTAAAGACAAGTCTCATAAGAGTAGTCATCGTACTAGGTCTCGGTCACGGGATAAGTCCCGTAAACGTAGTCGGTCTAAAGAGCGTAAACATCGTCGAAAAAGTCGTTCTAGAGATAGACATCGTAGTCGTTCCAGAGACCGACATTCTCGTCGACGGTCTAAAGATAAGCGAAGTCGTACACGGTCTCCAGTCAAACTACCTAAGTATGGACCACCCTTACCTCCTCCTCGTTATGGTAGGAAACAATCACCTCTAGCCTCTAAAGTACCTCCAGCGAGTATGCTTACTCCTGAAGAAAGAGATGCTAGGACCGTGTTTTGTATGCAACTTTCGAAAACCATTAGAGCTAGAGATTTAGAAGAATTTTTTTCGTCTGTTGGCAAAGTCAGGGATGTTAGAATGATAACTTGTAATAAAACACGTCGGTTTAAGGGTATTGCTTACATAGAATTTAAAGATCCTGAATCGGTTCCACTTGCTATGGGTCTAAATGGTCAAAAGCTTTTAGGTGTTCCTATTGTGGTTCAACCGACTCAAGCCGAAAAAAATCGAATGGCTAATTCTTTACCTAATATGGTTCAGCGTACTCATTATGGACCCATGAAATTATACGTTGGTTCATTACATTATAATATCACTGAAGATATGCTAAGAGGTATATTTGAACCTTTTGGACATGTTGATAACATACAATTAATGATGGACACTGAAACTGGCCGTTCCAAGGGTTATGGATTTTTGACCTATCGTAATGCAGAAGATGCAAAGAAAGCCCTTGAACATTTAAATGGATTTGAAATAGCTGGACGACCCATGAAAGTTGGTCATGTGACTGAAAATCATTCTATGTATGACAAAACAGCTTTTGAAGTTGATGAGTTAGATAGGGCTGGTTATGATTTAGGAGCTACAGGTAGACTACAATTAATGTATAAATTAGCTGAAGGTACTGGATTTCCAATTCCTCAAGCTGCTGCTAATGCACTTCAAGTGGCTACTGGAGTAACTCCTGCTGCACCTGCAGTCCAGGTGACTCCTCCAATCGCCACCCAGTGTTTCTTATTAGCAAATATGTTTGATCCAAACAAAGAAGATGTTGATAGCAATACTACATGGGAAAATGAAATTAGAGATGATGTTATTGAGGAATGTAACAAACATGGAGGTGTTTTACATGTGTATGTTGATAAAGCATCTCCACAAGGCAATGTGTATGTCAAATGTACAACAATTGAAACTGCGCTTGCATCTGTAGCAGCTTTACATGGACGATGGTTTGGAGGACGTGTTATCACTGCAGCCTATGTGCCTTTAGCAAACTATCACAATTTGTTTCCAGAAGCTTCTTCACTTACCAAACTGTTGGTATCATCAAGAAATAAAAATTAACAATTTTTTCATATAGTTAAATTATTTTATTTTTTTAAACTTTCAATTGACTTAATGATATATATGTTAACATAATAATCTAAAATTAGAACTTCGGAAGAATATATTTTTTAATCAACCTTTTCTTAGGTAGAAAATGAATGTTTGCTTATATTATACAAATAGTGATTGAAATTAAGTTGTAGAATTTACATCATTCTCTTAAATTTCATGTTTTTTCCACTGTTTTTTTTTTTTTTCTAAAATCACATTTTTTTCATCTGTTAGTCATCAGATTATAATTTTTTTTTCCTGACATTACCATGTTAAATATTTTTTTAGTGAACAATAAATGTCAAATAATCTTATACTTATTTGTTTGTAATTGTATTGTACAACTATCAAAACGAATTTTTCTATTTATCCTGACCATTCACCTTATCTGATTTCTTGTATTACAAAAAACTAGTGAAAATATAATACTTATTTAGTAATATATTTATATGTTTAACTATAATGCTATAATGCTACAATAAATAAAATGTAACTAATTCTTAATAATTAGTATTGAGTTTTATTAAATGTTTAACCACATTTTTATTACTGTAATGTACCTAATTTTTTATTTGTATTTTTACAAATAATAAATCTTGAAATTCATACTATTTTTTTTTCTAACAGAAATTATTGTATACTTAAAAAAATTGAATATATAATATAAATATTTAACATTATTGTATATATTAATTTTAACTTGTACTAGTTAATCTGTATACAATTTTACTGTACAGTTGGAAATTGATATAAAATGAATAATATGGGTACTAACCCCAGTATCAGCTTTTTTAAGAACAATATAAATTTCTAAAATATGTACAATAGTTACCATTAAGTTTTGGACTAGAAACTTTTATTTCATCGATCTAGTTATATTTTTAATTTAAAATTGCAATAACCAATTTTTTCAAACAGATAGTGTTAATTCTACTTTATATTATTTAATTAATTGTAATAATGCTACAAAATTTGTATTTTTAGGTTTTTGCCACACTTGTACACCATAATATTTTAATAACACTGTTAAGATTTTCTTGTAGCTTAATAATTAATTGTAGTATGTATATTATATCTTGTACTGTTCTTATTATCTATTTCTAACAGTTGAAGGAAAATTTTAATTGTATATTTATCAGTTTAAGAATAATTAAAAACAATTTACAAAAAACATTGAAGAATCGAATGTGCATTAAATAAAATAAAAAATTGTTATTTACAAATTTTGAATTATTTTTTTTATATAAATTTATTTTTGAATGGTGTATATTACTGAAGATTACTGATATTAATTATTTACCCCATAAATACAAACCTGTGTTTCATCTTTTGAATTTTTATATTTAATAATAAATTGTACGAGTAATTATTTTTCTGTTGAACAAATAAATATATGTTTAAAATATAATTATTTTCATACTAGTTGGTAGTATGTAGCATATAATGGAAAAATATATGAATGAATATCAATTTGTTTTATATATTTGTTATATTTTAAGTATACTTTAAAATCTGTGTAATATATATTTAATTGTAATAAATATGATAACCAACAGCCATTGAAATTATATTACTTAAAATTTTAACCAAATTATCTACCTACTTGTATATTTATATTTTATTTTTAATAGAATGATATAACTTAATTGTTTATTCATTATTTTTACAAGTTAAATTATGAAATATATCTTCAGCAATTATTTTACAAAAGTTTGAGTTTTTTTATCCATTAAAATTAATTCATTTTTATGGATGAATTTTAAATGCCTTACTGTACGGCTTAAGCTTAAATACTAGATTAGTAGAATTTTCGTTCTAAATATCTTCGTTTCCGCAGGCAAAACTAACAGTCCTTTATGAACACGCCACCGGCTTCACGCTGTTTAAAGTTAAAGAATTTGAAGAAATAGGTTCAGAATTAGCACAAGTTGAAAAATCTGTGCGCGACTTACAGCGTTTCACCAAAATCATTGAGCTATTGGCATTTGCTCCTTTCAAAACATCTGTTGATGCATTGGAATCCATCAACAGCATTTCTGAAGGTACAAAACACTAAAATCTGATGTCCGTCTGCTGTATCCAGTTTTCATCAAGTTGTTTATTATCACGTTCATAGGTTTATTGCCGGAGAGTCTACAAATATTTTTAGAAACCAATGTACCTAAAGTGGGTAAAATGTCAAAAGTCACGTTGGGAGTTGCTGACAGCAAATTGGGCGCAAGCATAAATGAAAAACTTGGTCTCAAGATACAACATACTGGATTTATACTCGAGATATTGAGAGGTCTGTTTGTTTCATTTTCATTTTGCTTTGGTATAACAATTAAAAACAAACAGTTTGTGTTTCATTATGCTTTGGTTAAATAATTTTCTTATAAATTTTGAATAATATAACTTTAAAATTATCATTAAATCCTTAAATGTGTTTTTATGTTTCAGGTAAGTAATATTAATTACTAAATTATAATGATATATTAAGTATATTTGTGTGTGTGTGTATATATATATATGTATTTATACGCACTTTATTTATTTTTATTTAAATTAACTAAAATAATTGTATAATTTACTATGCAGGTATTAGATACCATTTCCCATCCCTCATGAAAGGATTTGCTCCTAAGTTGGAAGGTGTAGCCCAACTAGGTTTAGGTCATAGTTATTCTAGAGCTAAAGTGAAGTTCAATGTTAATAAAGTTGACAACATGATTATACATAGTGTGTCTTTGCTTGATCAGTTGGACAAAGACCTGAATACCTATTCAATGCGTATCAGGTAATATCAATTGATTTATCAATATGATAATTTGGTAATAACTTAATTATTTTTTTGCAATAGAGAATGGTACTCCTATCATTTCCCAGAACTTTACAAGATTGTACCAGAAAATTATTTATTTGCTAAAGTAGTAAAGTATGTAGGAGATCGTAAACAACTTACTGAAGATAAATTAGAAGGTCTTGAAGAGATAGTAATGGATGCAGGAAAAGCAGCAGCAATTTTAAGTGCAGCCAAATCATCAATGGGTAATTGCCTTTAACCATATAAATTATACATTTATTCTAAAGTCGTGTGTGACTTAAATTTATTTTAGGCATGGATATTTCTCCAGTTGATTTAACTAATGTACTGATGTTCACCAATCGAGTTGTTTCATTATCTGAGTATAGAAAAAGTCTATCAGAGTATTTAAAGAATAAAATGGGAACTGTTGCACCAAATATGGCTGCTTTAATTGGTGAACAAGTTGGAGCTAGACTTATTTCTAAAGCTGGTTCATTGACAAATTTAGCCAAATGTCCAGCATCTACAGTACAAATTTTAGGTGCTGAGAAAGCTCTTTTCAGGTAAATACTTATAAATTTGTTGTTATTTAATTTTTTATAATTTGTTATTTAATTTTTAAGAGCAATGAAGACCAAAACTAGTACTCCAAAATATGGTCTAATATATCATTCAACATTCATTGGACGTGCTGGCAGACAATATAAAGGACGTGCCTCTCGTTTTCTTTCAAATAAATTGAGTATTGCCAGCCGTATTGATGCTTTTGCAGGTACTGTTATTATTATCTTGTTTTAATTCAATGATATTTTATTATCAATGTATCCCTTGTTATAGATAATCCTTGTAATATTTTTGGTTTAAAAATGAAACAACAATGTGAAGATAGACTTAAATATTTTGAAACTGGCGAAAAACCTCCTAAAAATGTTGATGTTATGCATGCTGCTCTTCAAGAATCACTTGTCTTGCAAGAACAAGTAACTACTTTTAAACTTCCCATAATATGTAATGAGACTACATTTTATTTTATATTTTTAGAATGAAAGTCTTAACACTAGTGTGAAGCGTAAGAAAGCAAAGAAAGAAAAAAAATCAAAAAAGAAAAAAATAGAAAATAATCAAGAAAATGAAGACTAATTGTTTTGTATTTTTAAATTACAGTTTTTTACTCTTAAAATAAATATTTCATTTATTTGACTATAATTATTGATTGATTAATATCCCCTCTACATGGTTCATTATTATTTATATATATTTTCTGCACTTATATAAGAAAAAAAAATAAAACTGGTAATAAAAGAGAATATTTTCTTGACATCTTAGAAATTATTGTGATTGAAATATGTACTATATGTAGTTCAGCAGTGCTGTGTTGACTGTTACAGCTTACACATGCATGGCGCTTGTTAGCGATATCACAACTACTATACCTACTTTTCAATATTAATTACTCATTAAAAATTAATGTTTTTATTTTTATCAAAAATTATTACCGACATAAATGATTTGAATAATGAATAACTAACCTCTTTCTAATCGTTGAAATACGTAGGTTCAAACTGCACGTACTACATGCAAATTTTGATTAATCTCAAAGAAAATGAGCTTTCCACAATTCCACCGTGTCATACATCCAATTATAACGTTTATTCGCAACTTTCGTCATTCCACTATTGAAGCTATTAAAACGTTTCTAACGGAACTGGATTTCTTCGCATAGTGTTGGTAATATTATTAATAGGATCAACAACCACCCAATGTCACTCTTTACAAATTAACTTTTGAACTTGATAACATCGTAATCAATAGGAACATATTTGCACATTCACAAATTGCCAAAACTATTGTATTTTAAAATTATCATCGAAAAACCGAGAACAATAATAGCTCAACTTTACCCACAGAGAAAGTGATGAATACACATTTATGTATTATTTACACAATTCTTTCTGCGTTAAATGCATCCAGGATCACTTCACCACAGACTGAATCAAGCCGCGTGGACTACCGACTAAATACGCTCTATGTTTCGGTACTCGCACAGTCAATTTTAAAGGCTGTCCGTCGAACAAATATTTCAAACCGTTTTACGACAAGAAACCATACCCCCCTCCCGCTCCAACAGAAATCAAATTCACAAAACATCTCCAAAGGCTCCATCAAACAAGGTCCAAGAAGTTTATACTTGACCTCGGCATAAATATTTTGCTAAAGCCGTTACTTCTGATAATTATAGACATCGTTCCAAATATAATAGCGCAATTGAATTTAAATTTTGTAATTGATCCTTTGACGTTCCTCCTCACCGAGGTTTTACATAAAAGTTTATCTCCTTTGATAATAATATTTCACTCGTCCAACAAATGTTCTTTGTACATCTATTTTGTTACTGTGCAAACAAGATAGTCTCATAATAAGTGTAATATTATTCGCCTATTGTATGTTATTTAATTGTCAAGCTGTAATAGTTTTGTACTAAAATCTAATAAAAATAAAAAAAATATGTTTAGTTTATATATCACAATAAAATTAAACATCATACAATTTTAAGTTTAATTTTTTTTTCAAATCTGCGCATTTGATTACTAAAATTTAACTACCTACACAGTTTATTGTTAATTATATGACATATTCTGATATACGAATCAGAATACTTGTTATTGCATAAACATTCAATGTTAAAAATTAAGGGCCTTTTCACACATACTCGATTTCCATGAACACGATAACCGTTTGCACGGATGTACACAACTAGCGGCTGTGCCGTGCGGAAACCGTAAGAAAACCTTGGGTGCGTAAAAAGGGTTCAAATGTTATTTTGTAGTATTTGTATGGTTTTTAAGTAAAAGAATTACAAGATTTTATCAATACATTAAACTAATAAGGATTACATGGAAAATTATTTTATTTTACTGAAATAACAACGTTTTTTTGCTTGACTAGAAATATAATTATGATTCAAAGATATAATGCAAATTTTTTCGTAAACTATTGCAAAATAGTAGACTAATTGAACACATTAACAAATGTTATTTTTTTTATTAAATTAACGAACCTGTTATTTTTTCTGGTAAAAAATCATTAGGTACCTATAAGTGTCTTTATTTTATTTATAATGTAGGAGTTAGCTAATATAACAGCAATAATTGGAACTTAAATTAGTGACAAATAATATATTAAGTAATCATTATCAGTATTATTATAAATTCTTTTGAATTAAATATTATTGATTGAAATTATACTTTCTCAGAAAATAAAATTATAAATAGATGAGAAGTCTGAGGAGTTGCCCTGCTAAATAATTGAGCGTTAATATGTTTTTTAACTAATTCGTAATTTGAATAAAGTTCAATAATTTTATTTTTTATGTCATTTTAGCTGCCTGATTTTTATCGAAGAACACAGCTATTAAGAACAAATGTTTTTTTTAAATTTAAATCAATTTTAGACATAGTATATACTTTTAGTTTAGTTATTTACACTCATTGTTATAATTATTTAAATGAAACTAAAAATAATAATCATTCTTTTAAACTCTTGTACGTTTTCGTTTGTAGATAGTTCAGCATCAGTTCTACTTAACTATTATAATAACTAAAAAAAGTATCGTCCATGTTGATTAAGCCTAATTTAATTAATTTAACTACGATAAATCGGATTACAAATTCATTTAGAAAACGAAGCGTAAACATTAAAATGCAAGATAAAATGAATTAATCGTAAGAATATTTAATATATTTAATATTTACTTACACCATTGGCGAACGGAGTAAAATATTTCGGGGGGATTTTGAAAATATGTAAAATGTTGATAAATATCATGCTTTATTACTCATAATATATATTTATATATTTTATTAGGAAGTTTCGTAGGGAATTTTGAAATAATTATTAAATTTGTAAGTCAGATGATTTTTTTTTTATATTTTGGAGGAGGGAGTTGAACTCCTAACCCCTTGAGTTCGCACCTGACTAGCACACATCGTTCGAACCGTACAAATGTAAGGGATCGTAACCAGCACAATATTTAGCTAAGAAAAACGGGTCAGCACTGAAAATTATTGATTTTCCACTCAACCGTATGGCATTTTCTTGCTTGCGCTTGTAAAATTTTTGGTTACTTCTCCTTGTTATAGGTTTTACTTATTTATATACGATAAGGTATACATTCCGGTGTGTGGATAAATTTTTATTTTTACACGTGTGCATGAAATACTGCTAAACATGTAGCCGTGGCATTCTATTTTATAGTGAATTTGTGAACATTTTAATCCAAAAAAAAAAAAAAAAAACAACTAACACAACGTTGAACGTGAGTATTTTTTATCAGTCTTACGAGATGTTGCATTTCGAAAACGTAATGTTCAAAGTATCATCGACAATCTTGTACGTATTTAGATCCATATAGAGCGTTACACAGCAAAACATTGAAACAATGAACGGGGCCGAGTCTTCTGCCGATTCGTTACCAGTCATCGGTCTAGATTTCAAGCAAGCCATGAGCGACTTCAAGATAATGTTTCCCACGTTGGACGACGACGTGATCGAAGCGGTTTTGCGTTCAAACAAAGGTAGCGTAGACCCGACGGTCGATCAACTGTTAATGATGAGCAACGATGGCCGAATTGATTTCGAACCAAGTGGTTCAATGTCTTGCGATGATGGCGGTTTGCCAGACGCCAAACCCCAACATGCTTTCTTTGACCCAATGTAAATATTTTTATCACTTAGGTAACTATTTATATTTATAAATAACCCTCATGGTTTTTACATAACATTTTAGGTTACCTGATGTTCTGCACAACCTCAGTAAGAAAGACAGACAGATAGGCTCAAAACGTTGGAATCCACCAATGCTTGGACCTCTACCCAATGACTTTCTCAGGCTGACAATAAACTGCAACTCACAAGTAAAAATGTTTAAGAGGCCAAGCTAGTAAACCAGACATTGAAATGTATAATAACAGATTTCAGAGAACGAACTCAATGATGAACATATAGCTATTTTATTACAAAATGAAGAATTCCTCATACAGCTACGTAATAACGAACATTTCCTCTCCACACTTCAAAAAGGCATGTAAAGTTCCATACTTTAATCTGCATATTGAATGAGATATGTTATAAATATATCTAAATGTAAGCATATATATACAAGTATATATGCATTTTATATAGACAAAAGTAACTTTATCTTATGGTATTTTTGTATGATTCGTTTTAGCAGATAGTCCTCTAGAAGAACAAAGATTTTTTGTCACGAGTAATTCATCAAATGATGATGATGCAGCATTTAAAGAAAGGCTGAAAAATATGGGAAAAGGTATGAAAACAATAATGGTAAATAAATATTATCAGATTTATTTTGTGGCAAAATACACAATCCATAATAGGTATTGTAGATCATACCAATCTAAGTATAATTAAACTTTACATACAAAAAAAAAAAAAAAATTCAAATGTTTAATTTCAGTTTCCAGAAAAAAATTCATCCAAATTGCACGTGTATTCACGGGGAAAAAGAAGAAAAGTACAGCACGTAATATACTGAATCAAGGAGACACTCATGCAAAAGACAATTTATTTCTACACGAAGAAAAACGTTGATAAAAATATTATATTTGTTATTTTGTTTATAGCAATTAACAATTTTTTTTTTAATTTATATTTAATCCTGTTATTGTTATTTTTGTTTTGAATAATTATATAGAAGTTGTTTAATGCAATAGGATAATAATAAACTAATAATTATCAGTTTATTATATCATCTTAATTTACAAAAGCAGCTGTTCTAAATAATTTTCAAAGTCATCTTCTCTAGGTTTGTCATCTTCTACTTGAAGTTGTTCACACCACACATTATCTTCAATCACTATTTTAGAAGTAACTGGTACCTCATCTTGAACACTAGTTGTAGGCTGTCGATCAGGTGTTCTTCGATCTTTCAAATGTTTAGTAGACTTGCTTTTAGTTGATTTTGAAACCTTGCGTTTGAACTCTTTAACTTTATGTTTATAATTTAATTTATTAGAACATTTGTCTGCACACAGTCCTAAATTGATTTAAAATTACATTAAATTTATGTTAATATATATGTATAAAAGCGTACAACATACTTAGTTTGACTAGAGTGTTTTTCTTTTCCCCATGTTCCATATAACTAAAATTTACTTCCCATGTCCGTAAATGTTTAATTTCACTACAAACTCTATTACCGCAAATGAATTGTCCTTTACCACTGATCATTTCTTTTTCTGTTTGCCAACGCATTGCTACCTACGCATTAGGTATATTATTTTGTAGATATAAAATGTTAAATATACTATAGTAAAATAGTTGGTTATTACTAATAAAAATATAATATAATCTTTTTATACAAATATTTAAATTAGAAAACAAAATTTTAAAATACAAACGTTATCCAGAATTATAAATTACTATCAAGTAAAATAAATTGCAAAATGTGAAGTGGTTCGAGCATAAATCATTTTTAAAATGTACATTCAATGCAAAAAAAATACTTAAGAAACTATAAATAATTTATGACTGAGTACCTATGATTTATATTTTAAGAAAGAATATTAATAAATTATTAATTAAATGTTAAATGTATAAAATAAAGTCTATAAGACAATTATACGAAACATATGTATTCAGATCGTAAAGCACATAAAAATAAATAAATCACAATATAACATAAGGCTATTTCAGAAAATACTTAAATAACTGACTAGAATAAAATAAATAAATAAATATGTAATTAATTATTAATAGAAGAAACTATATGTATATAATTTCAACCATAGAATGTACGCATATTATGAATGCAAAAATTATTTTATGCCAAATTCAAAAAAATAATATAATTCCACGTTTAAATTTAAAATTTTAACTTTTGCAGTTTTCAATAAAACTATGTAATAAGCACACCATTTAATTATTTATAGTTCAACTTACTTTTGACTTTTTATACAGGCTCAAGTCACAAATACAATATTCTTTGAACAACTTGTCATAATACTTCTTGGCCAATTTCTGCTCCCAAGAGACAACTTCGTCATCTTCATCCCATACAAACTTATGGTTTTCCTGTATTACATCAATATCACGTTTTTCACGTCTAAAACAGATCTTTGTTGATACCGATTGGTAGACGTAAGGTTAGCAAACATACTTTTTAACGTCAACGGACTTGCAATAATCCAGATATTTGTCCAGTAATTGCTTGTGCAATTCAAAAGGCTGTAGAACTGATAGTTTGTTTTTATCCATATCACTCGGATGGCATTTAAATACGTACAACTGTTACAGTGCTTGTAATTGAATGTATATTAATTATACATTCAATAAATAATGTCTATATTTTCAATATATATATATATATAATTAACCAAAATGTCAAAAGTTTAAATCAGTCGCTTAAAAACCATCATGACTAATCTCAAATAATTCGAATTTACGTTTTGTATATCAATGGATTCGTGCTTACCAAAATATCCATTAGAGATAAGATGTTATTAGCACAGTTGTTATTCTTACACTATGGCACAGAGTATATTCATATATAATAGTATCTGTTATTGTACAGGTTAGGCCCGACAAGTTCACTATGATAAATCAAAATTCTAAAATCGTAATCATGGAACATAGAGTAATAACTCTATCAGGTAATCAGTGTTGTTTTAGAGATTATGAGCATAGATAATAGAATAAATAAAAGGAATCTATAAAAACGTTATTGAATCGTGATGCGTATGCACCATCGAACATAACATGTTATCATATAGAATTCTATGGTATGCGCAAGCTTATTATCATGTTGTATACTACTTGTTCGTGATAATATAATCTATGTCGTAATAATTATTGATATTATAATCCAGCACTAAAAATGTCAAGTAAATTTACTATTTAACAAATAAAATGTCCATCCTAGTATTAATTAAAATAAATAATGAAGTCCTAATGCCTTTTAATCGTTTGGTCATCTCATAATTAAATAAAATAATAATAGAAGGTACCCATAGGCGTGCGCAGACCTTATTTTCAGGGTATGCAAAAAGCTGTCCCTACCTATCCCCCCCCTAAAACTGAAAGTTAATTTAAGCGTTCGAAATTCTGGTCTTAATAACCATTTAATTTAACATTTTCATTTTTTTTCCTGAAAAAAGTGACTGAATAGCCATTTCTTAATCGTTATAACTGTCTTCATAATTAAAATTTAAAATAAATTACGAAAAAAAAAAAAATTAAATAAATAACACTTGAAATGGTTTGAGTAATACGTTTAAATAAGGTAAATAAATAAAAACGTAATTTTATACTTAAATTAAAAAAAAAAAATTTGATAAATAATCAAAATTAATCATAAAATGATTCTGCGTTCAGTTAAGTTTTTAATATCACCAATAATGTTTTGGGGATTTTAATTTATAGCCATTTATTGTTCTGTAGTTGATAGCTATTTAATCTCGCTTGAATTATTGTACTTTTTAATTTCATTAACACATTAAACCGTACGGTTAATAATAACGTTATTATAGCATATGATTTGTGTTTCAAAAATAAATTAAACTGTCTGGGACTGAATATAAAAATATAATAAACATCATAATGTAATACAAAATCACATAATATACATAAGACCAAATATGTCATAATTTTTATTCATTTTTTGTAATTTTAGAAAGAAGGCTCTATGTTTAGGGTAATCATTTGCATACCCTGGATACCCTCTGCGTACGCCTATGTAGGTACCTCATAATATAATAATAATTAAATAATTATATTTATTCGTAATATCATATATTTATAGTGCTTAAAGATCATATTATTGTACATAGTTTTTTTTTAAGAACAAAGTGGAGGGTTTTTGTTGTAATATTATAATAATTATTCATTATGCTTATTGATACCTGCAAAACTTACTCTTCCAATATATATATAACTTAACAATAATGTGCATTTGAACGTATTATTATATTGATCGGACCAATTACATTAATTAACTTAGTTTTCTCTCCAATCACCGCCTTAACTTTTGAATGATTAATATATTACATCAATCAGTCAGTTATTATTCATATTTGACACTTGAAACATGTTTTAGAAGGTAGATTTCATCCCACACGACTGCACCGGGGATGTGAGTAAGACAATGAATTTAATACTGTCCCTGCATGCATGCGGCTAACGAATCACAATCACGAACAAAGATACATGTTTACAGCGCAGGACGATGGCAAGACGAATGAAAACCGCATTAAATCACAATTGATACTGGTAAGTATGACGACCAATAAATGTAAGGCAATAAAGTTGCGCAGATTGATACTTATTAATCATTAAAACAAAAAAAAACGTGGTTTGCACAAAAAAATGGCTGTAGACACACGTGAACGAATGTAAGGTACATATAATGAAAGGAGACAAGATACGAAAGACAAGTTGTCCACCACACGACGATTAATGGATGAAAGATACATTCCCAACGAAAGCTACGGCCGCTGGACACAGTAATGATGATAAAGATGTCAATTGCAGATTGTAAACATCACATATTTTCATTTTAATAAGTAATAATATTATTTGTATTTAAAGTTAAAAAAAAAAAAATGTATTCTACTTGAACAATGTCAGTAAGACATAAAGAGGCCGATTTAAGCCACCTCGAACAAATGCAGCTACAATTATGAGAAATAAAAGAGAGCAAAAAACATACGGACGTACTCAATCCGATAATATGAATGTGTTTATGAGTATGGTGCGATTATGTAAATCTCAATTACACGAGGAACGAGTTGAACGCAATGAACAACGATGGTCGGAGCAAAAACAAGCGCGCCGGTTTGCAGAGAACACACGCAAAGCAAATGACCGACAGCTCCAACAAATGCATCGAACATTTACATATGATTCGTTCCTTCGTCTGGTATTCAACTATGAGCCAGATATTGAATAATATGCTCATTTGAAAGTGACGATTGGTGCTATGGACAAGAAATTTCCTTATTGTTATGTGCTTAAATTCAAAAATTAGCCAGCCGGGGTGTGTTGTGCACTAGGAAAAATGCAATTAGATATAAAATAGGACTTCAACAACTCCTCCCCTTAAAAAATCCTCCCAGGTAATTCGCTATACACTAATAAAAACATTATTCACCCCTTAGAATGCATCCCTCAACACAGTCAAACATAACTAAAACAATATCCCTTAAATATTATTCTTAACACTGATAAACCATACATTACCCTTAAATGCTACGTTTAACACAGTCAAACCTTACCTTACCATTAAATAAAACTCTTATCACAAACGAATCTAACCGTAATCCTTCTCTTAAAATGCAACTCTTTAAGAGTTGCCATAAATTTATAAGACGAAACCGGGACAAAACAAATACATTATTGAATAATATACTTTTTATATAACTTTTAAAATATTGAGAGGATCAGTGGCCACTGAAGAGGATCATTAATGGCTGGCAATATAATATTTAAAAATATTTTTGTAAAATAAAATGTATTATATATTTATATGTGTAAATTACAAATTATGATTTTATTATATATTGTTGTGACATTTTCGTAATTGTTCAGGAGAACGATTTTTTTAGTTTGAGCTGTTATAACAATTCAAAAATGTAAAGAACTGTAATGAACTTTTTGTTATATTTTCCTTAACGTATAATAAGTAAAGATGATTAAAAAACCTACAATTACTACATTTGTATTTTTTAAAAAATTTTTAAAAATAATATTATACTTAACACATTTTGTATACGTAAAAAGTAAAACTTAAACATATCATATTTATCTTCTAAATTCAACAAAGAACAACAATTCCTTGAATAATGATATAATTTCGTTTATGCATTATGTGTAGAATTTTATGATTAAATTGAATATTCACTGAACTCATTTTTCAAAAAAATTTTTCTTATCACACTTGTGCACTATGCCATCAAAATGGTCAACATTAAAAATTAAACAATATTACATTTCCTCTAGACGTCTAAGCCGGTACACATGGGCGTCCCAAAAACATTTTTCGGGACACCAGGACACGAAGTCCAAAACCTATAACAATCCCGGTTTTCCGGAACGTTTAGCAACTCTAAACTCTTATCACATACAAACATAACCATGATCCTCTTCTTAAAATGGAACTCTAATCACAGACAACTATATCTCAATGAACCCCTCCCCCTTATTAACATTTTTGATATCATCCACAATACATGAAACCTATCTCAAGCCACGCTCATTTATAACACTCCCCCATCCTTAACCCCCCACAGACACATCTAATGAAAACCATGCCAACATAACTAACAAACGTTTGCATATACATAAACACTCACACGCATGGTGTTAGCATATCATGTACTATTGTTTACATATCACTATAAATTTGCTTTATTATATTATTATTATTATAGTTATTAGAGAAAATCAAAGACATTTTTATAGAAGTTTTTGTTAGTCAAGAATATTCAATTAATCTATAGAGAAAATATTATGTATAATACTATAACATAGCTCTCTGATATCTACATGTAATATAATATATTACATGTAGAAATATAGGACTAATATGCTTAGTAAATATGATTCAATGCAATACAATTCCAAAAAAAAAAGATAAGTGTATAATGTATATTTCAATAACAAGGAATATGTTGTTAAATGTTATATAAGTTACATTAATTACATTCTTCAATGAAAATCTGCAGTATGGAATGTATTATCAAGAAATGTATAAAATATTATTACAAAACTTAAATACAATTAATTAAGGTGTATTATATATATATATATATGTATACAATTTTTATATATTTAATTAGTGTTTAAACTTTGAGAAATAAGCATTGAAATCACTTACATTGAACTTTAGTTCAGAATTTATAATTTGAAGAGTATCCTTAGAAAATAAATGAATTGTCTCTAATCCTTTTCGAATTTTAACATACATAGTAATTTTTTGGAAAGAAAAATTAATCTTTCTTATTTGGTCTTCAATTTCTTCTCCAGTTCTCAATATTTGAATCATATTTTCACTTTGGTTTCCATCAAGCATGGTGCTTGGAAGTTTCAAAAGCATTTGAATAGCTAATATCAAATCGTGCAATTTATTTGGGAAGTTTATGTAGTTAAACTCGGTCAAATTTTTCCTTATCATTGCAAAATGGTTCTTTATTTGTTGGAATTGTTTTTTTTTAATACTATTATAGATTTCAAAATAGACCACAGAAACGTAGAATGTAAAATAAATATCATAAAATGCATATAAATTTAATGGGTTCATAGTTAAATTCATTAAATCATTGTAAATATCATAAATATTTTCATATTTTCCTTTCCAGTGAATTTTTATGTTGTATGCAAACAATTTAAAAACATTAGATTTAAAAATAAATTTTTTATACAAGTATTCTATGTCTAAATATGAAAAATCTTCTAAAGGTGATTTTATTTTATAAAAAAACAAAGTGCCTGTATTAAAATCGTCTGGATTATAATCCAAAATTCCTAAAATGGTTTTTTTAATTACATGACTGTTGCCAAAATCAATAAAATTAATGTTATTAAATAACAATAAATTTAGTTTTGGGGAGTTACATTTTTTTAATCCATAATCATTAAGTTCAGTCATGATTACGTTCAAAATACGTTTTAACTTATAATCATTTTTAAATTCTATTGATGATTCTTTCAGGTTTATCAAAATTATGACTATATTATAT